CCCAAACACTCCAAGGACTTATCAAGGCCTTTTGGGGAAACGCAGGTAAGGGCACAGGGGGATTGGATCAAGAATGCAGAAGTTAAATTTCTCTCAAAGAGGTGCATGAAGGCAAACCTGGCACGTGGAAGCTAGGCTTGAGAGAATAAGGATCCTCTTGTTGACAGTGAGTGTACCCAATTGAACTGCTTGAGGGTCCACTTCAACGAATCTGGGCATTTGGACCTTGCAAATAAACAGCCTGAATTTCTCCAGGGCCTGCACTGAGCTCCCATTGCCTGGAGCTGTGCCTAGATTGAGAAAGAGACGGGAGGGTACAGAGTGAGGCCTCATGAGGAAAACCGAAAAGCCGACCAGTTCCTATGGGATCCATGTGCTTTCCAGTTTTGCTGTGGCGCAATCTCCCGAAGTCGTTCCCATGTGAGTCTCTCCGCCGGGTACTCCGGGTCTGGGAAATACACATGAATGGTTGGTTTCTGTGTGATTTTCCTGGGTGTTAGTGGACCCAAGTTACGGTTACTGTAGGTAATGCAGCGTTGCAGAATTGCAGACGCAAGTTAGAATGCATTGGAGTTGCCTATTTTACAGCCTTTGCAAGTCAAGCCCGGCCTTTGAGCCAGCTTTCCCTCCCAGCGCCACACCCTGGGAAATTCATCTTGGCACCTTTTGATCGGGGAATCTTTTTGGGAAAAGGCCTTGTGGTTGCTGCTGCGTGCCTGCATCCTGGACATTTCACTCCACATCGCAAGCTAACAAATGATTTCCCTTCTTGAAACGTTGCAGATAGCGCAATTGAGTTCTGGGTATTTGTTGGAAGTCGGCACCTCGATCAGTTGGGACCGATCAGAGCAACCTGGAAATCGGAATGTGGCAAAGCATGAAAGTCTCGGGGAGACCTTTGAAGTTACCCCCCCCCCCCAAAAAAAAAAAAGAAAAAGAGGAAGATTTTGGGGCCTTGCACACCACCTCCTTTGACACAATGGGGATATCCTCCCAAAAAACACGGACCCCACATGGATCCAACTCCACGCCCAGTTGCATTTCATTCTTTTGTCGCAAGCACGAGGTTCAACTGAACTGCGGGACCTTTCCATCTTGAAGGGTGGGCTCCGTTAGCCTGCGAGCCAACCGTTTCAGCGTCACCAGACATATCACCAGCTTACCTTCCAAGGAACAAGGGCCTGGAGTCGGGCTGGACGGGCGTGGTGGACCGCCGCGCTTGCGCGGAGCGCCGCGCACTGGCGAAGCTGGATGAGCTGCTTGAGGCAGCGGTGTGGAATCCTGGAAGGTCTCTTGTGTTTTCTTCTTTTTGCATGTATCAGTGTTGCCTGCTTTGGGTAGGTCCTTTGGGTGGGGCTCTTTCTTTACGGTTGCTTGGCATGCTTTCGTCGGTTTTGGGTTTAGTTGTAAGCCTTTACTCTCGCGCTGCTTTGCGCATTTCGTGATTGTTGTTTGGTTTAAGTGGTTGGCCTGTCGTGTTTACTTGTTTTGTTCTGTTCGTTTTTGAATGGGGGGATGTCGGGCCAAAATGGAAAGTTGGTATGTAGCCAAGAAGGAGAATTGATTTCCAGTCAATGTCGGTACAACCTTGAGGATACACTCTTAAGGCTACATGCCTTTGGTCCTTGATTCTGGCCAACTTGATGGTGTTTCAAGAAAGACCAGCAGAAAACCAACCATGGTTATGCGCTTTTGTTGTGTTGGCAATCATTGTCGGTGTCTGCCGCTTGCCTGCCTGCCTGCCTGCCTTCCTGCCTTCCTGCCTGCCTTCCTGCCTGCCTTCCTGCCTGCCTTCCTGCCTGCCTTGCTTGTTGTTTGGCTGGCTTGGCTTGGACTGCTTCTTTGAGCCCCGCGTTCTCCGAGCCGGGCTTCGCAGGGCTCCTGCTCGCGCGGCGAATCTGGTGGCGCACCTGGCCGCTTCGTGCGGCTGAGCACCACGGAGCCTCCCTGCGCCTTGGCACTGGGCACGGATATGGCCACGCACCCGGGCCCTCGAAAGCCTCGAAGCGAACATTGCAGAGGTTCGCATTCATTGTTTTCTCCTAATTTAGACGGGTTTGGCGAGGAGTTGGGGGTTCATGTTTTTTGAGGGTACCCTTTTTACCCACCCCACGCCTCATCAAGTGGTGCTAAAAGCCCACAATGTGGATTTCCCCAGCGGAAGCCAAAAGGCTGCGGGTAGTGTTTGTTGCTCTTCCATCCATCCCTGTTGCATAGAACTTTTCATGCAAATGACATCCATCAAAGGATCTCCCAGTGGAATTACTAAGGTGGAACATCAAGTGGATAGTCAGTCCTTCTCAAAAATGCCTCGAGGGAGGGGACGACTGGATTTGTTTTGGGAGGGGAGTTGGGATGGTTCAAACCGCAACATGGGTTCCTTTTAAATCATTTTACCAGAGGGGTTGACAATGCCTCCCCTTCTACCTCATTTTTTGCCCCAACTACAAATGGCACGGTTCACTGAGCCAAGAAACACGTGTGTTGACCTTCTGGAGAACCAGTTTGACCCGCTAGCCTTCAGCAATTTGTTGGGCCTTGAATTTGAACATCGTTTGACCCGCATGAAATCCGCATAAACTATTTGAATACTTTGCTATGATATGTATATCCATACAATATATATATATATATATTTATATTCTACAATGTACGATGGTACATGTATGTTGCCATCGATGTTCAGAAACTACAAAAAAGGCAAAAACCGCAACCTTGTGCCCCTGTTCTTGGGACCCATGTCGCCATTCGGAGCGAGGCGGGACACGCATTTTGCACTCCGCTCGGCCGAGGTGGCTCCTGCCTCGAGGCGCTGGTGGACTTCCATGCCAGGCGGGAGGTGCGAGAGGAGTTGATTCCTTTGGATTTGGAGTTGGTTTTGGTTTGGTTCCTTGGATGTTTGGTTTGGTTTCCTTGGTTTGCTTCGCTGTTATTATTATTATTAGTTGTTTGTAATTTTATTTAGTTATTTATTTATTCATTTATTTATCGGTTTTTTATATTTCTTTTTTTTATGTTATTTACTTATTTATTTATTTATTATTATTATTATTTTTGTTTTTTGAGGGGGGGTGTTTGCTGTTGTTTATTGTCAGCTTCTTGATGCGTTGCCGCTTGTTTATGTCGGGTAGGCGGTTTGAGTGGTGTTGCTGGAATTGTTGGCCAGGTGCGGTCATTGTCTCCGTTTCTTCGGTGGCTTTGTTTGGCATTTGCCTGTAGCTTGTTGGCGGCTTAGAGTTGTTCCGAGCCGCTCCCAACCGATGCCGATCTGTTCTTCGGGGCACCCCTGTTCAGTGTTGATATGTGTTGACTCGCTAATCATGGCAAAAAGGATCCGAGTTTTCAGAAAACCTGGGTTGAAGAAGTGAGCATCTCATGCTGGTTGCATGTAAGACGGGTCTGCGCCAGTTTTTTGGCGCGGAGGTACCCTGAGCTCCAGCTGGATGTCAGGGTGGACGGCGCCGTGTTGCGCCTGGGGCGCGAATTGGCGCACCTCAAGCGCTCCGAGGAAGACGACGATCGCTGTGGTGAAAAGAATCCCAGGCAGACCTAAGCCCCCGGGCTCCGCTTTTGGGCAACACAATCGCCCCTCGAAAGACTAGCTTTGGTAATGGAGTTCATAGTTCACAAGTGCCCAACAAAGAAACCCCAAGAGTGATTTGCCAAGAAGATCAAGAAGACCATTTTTTGGTTCAGGTGAAGCCGTTATGAGAAGCCAACAGGAAACCCAACTAATTTTGGGGTTTCCCATGCCAGGGTCTTGTGTTCGGACTTCTGCAGTTGGGTGTTGATTTAGGGTAGCCCTTGCCGGTTCCAGCTGCTTGAGCATGTCTCATTGGCTTCTCATTGTTAGCGCATGAGAAACAATCAGGTGCATGCGCATGTCAGAAATACAAGATGAGCCACAGATGTGACTTGTTCTCTTCGAGGACCTTGGACATCTTGTCGGCTTTTAAAGTTCTGAAGGCGGCATGGGAGCAACACAGACTTTGCCGTGCTCACAAGAGGGGGGTGGTCGTCCGATGTAAGTGAGTACATCCTTAGTACGTGAGGCCAGGGAGTTATGCACATGGTAGGCAAGTTTCTTCGCATTTTTGCCTGGAGTTTGGGCTGTCTGAGGAGAAGGATCCTACGGCTAGAGAGTTGCACGACACTGTGCAACAAGTCTTGCCACCAAGTGAATGGGTTGCCTTCAATACCGTCCCCGCAATCATTCGAAGAAAGAAAGAAGCAAGGAGGGAAAGCAGGGACTTGGAAGCCTGGAAGGTTTGGGTATGACTGGCCAGCAACAGGAGTCTGCGCGATTCCATTCCTATTCTTGGCTAGTTACTGTTACAACTGTTGCTTCTTTGTTTGACCGAACCACGGACGCGGACAATTTAGAGGCTCCGAGCAGAAAGTTGTCCCACACCTTTCTGTCAGCCTCCGGAACTTGGCGATAGAGTATTTCTCAAGTTCTTCAAAATTGGGCTCCCCTTTTTCTTTTTGCGGGGGAGTGAAAGGGAAGAAGTTTGTGTGCCCTTTAAACAGCTCAGCAAGAAGCCCGTGTGGACAGCCCAATAGAACCCCAGAGTGGGTTGCCCATGTTTCTCTTTCCCATTTCCCCCCCCCCCGCCCCCCGCCAAAACGTGGTCGTTGCCTGGAAAGTAACTTGTCAACAAGGACTCGGCGGAACTCCGCTGAGCTACTCACGTGACATGCCTCGGTTCTTCAGCGCCGTGGCTCCAAAGTGACCGCGGCCACTGCTCCCCTTGGGTCCCTGCGCCTAAGCCTCACGCCTTCCGGGTCCCACAGGCTTTTGCAGCTGTTCGGAGTTTTTTGTTTCTTCTGCGACTGAATATGCATGAATATGCATGATTCCAGGGCATTGCTGTTGGAAGTGTTCCAAGCACTGCTTGTTCTGAGACACAATCTGCAATCATAGCATTTGGGCGTATTCTCTTCCTCGACCAAGAGCTCAATGGCACATCCTGAAGCATATTTTGATTCTGCAAGGACGCCCCAGAATAGCAATGCCTCATCAGCCTTGCAAAGTTGACAGCTGCTGACTTCGTCTCACGCCATGCCCTCACGAGATGACAACTATGCCGCTTGGCGCAAAGAATCACACACTGCCAGTTTGGGTGAAGAAGCGTTTGACCTGTGGAAGAATGCTACAGTGCTACAGCCAAACCACGCCAACGCGTTTCCAACACATAGAATCTGAGATTCTGGTGCTCACAAGCTTTCACCAACCAGCTCCGTTTCTATGCAACAACACAGTGGTTGATCCGAGAACCTGCCCGAGTTCCAGCTTCACCAGGCTTGATCAGAATGTGACAACGAAGCAGCCCTACGAACAGCTTTCATGATGGTTGGGAAGAGGATACGGATGGGATACCCAAGAAACGCTCGAAAGCAAGCAGAGTAAAGCAATCACAACTGACAGAAGGGTCCTGGAACATGAGGCCGTTTGACAAGGGCTCCTGACCACGTCCGTGACTGTTGGAAAGAGGGTAAGAGTGGGCCTGGGTTTCACGGCGCTGCCTTGCAGTCCAACCAAACCTCACCAATTTTCCGACGTAGGTGACTCTTTCCAAAGAGAGTCATTTTCTCCTTTTATGTTTGGAGGGTTCCCCATAAACAAATCCTAGCCCGCAGCCCCACACTGAGTTTCTTCCCTACCAGGTCACTGAGCGGGAGAAGTAGGGAGAATAATACAAATGTAGGGATGTCTCAAAATGGCAAAGCCCCACTGGGTCAATGTTGGATAACTTCTTTTCATGTCTGCCCTTGACCAACCTGACGAACCCAGAACATATTTAAATCCTAGGGTTGGCGTTGAACGTTGACTAAGCCACCCGGCTTGTTGTTTTTGAGGGAAACCAAAGGAAACAAGCCGGTTTCAAGGATCCGTTTGTCTCTAAGAGGAACCTCTCAAATGGCTGGTTGCCCTTTGGCTTCCGTCTAAAACCATGAAGGGAAAGGTACCCTCGCAAAAGGACAAGCCAATTTGAGTCAATGTCTTCTTGCAGGCTCAAAATTGCGTTCACAAAACTGCAGTGAACAGCGAGGTATAATAATTCATCCAGAAGGATGATGCGGATGATCTTTCATGTCATCCATATCATCCTGCTGAGTGAGTCTTCACACTGAAGAGGATCTTTGCTGGGGCGGGGGTGTTATGTCACAATTCTTCAGCCCTGCGCAAACAACGAACCAAGCAACCAGCCCGCAAGCCCAACACCAGTTTTCGTTCCCAAGGGCCTAAGGTTGGAGCCGTGCATTTGGCTCGTGCCGTTGAGCTTCGATCGCCGGTTCCCGCGAAGCGAATCCTCCAGGTCTACATCAGGGTCATCGGCCGAGGCGCCTTTGGAGTTGTCGAACTGTGGCGCCAGAAGTTCAATGAGGAGAAGTTGCCCGGCCCGGAACTGGAGTTTGGGTCAGGGCGTCGTTTTTTGGAGAACCCCCTTTTAGTTGGAAAAGGAAAACCGCAAGGGACACAGCCGTCACAGTGCCGTCACGCTTGACTGCGCATGCCCGCGCCCCGCCGGAGCGAACGCGAACATGTTCGACCGTTCCATCTCAGCGCCTTTGCGCAAGGCAAACACGGGAAGGCATAGCCTCACAAGCGCGAGGGGACATACAACTATAGGGGCTGCCTCCTACTGCAAGGCCGCATTCAGACGGAGAATGCGGCATTTCGAAAAGGCAGAGCCGGGACCACATTGGACAAAAGGCATCTTGTGGCCTGGGTGAACCTCAAACCAGGCTGATTCATCAACAGGCTCAGAGCGGCCCCCAAGGTGATCGTGACCACACCGCGAGGCAGGTCATGCAGTACACTGGCTAGAAGCGGAAGGAATGTTATGGCTGCGTTGGCTCTTCATGCGAAAGGACAGGCGCACTGGACGATCCTGAGCCAAACGCCTGAAAGGAACAGCCATTTTTGTCCTTGCAATAGTTTTGACCGTGGCTCTTGTATCGTTGCGCGGGGTCCGTTGCACTGGGTCCCTTGATGTAAAGAAGCGGTCTGACAACTACTTTTGGGTGGTGGTTGGTTCTTGGAAGTATCCTTCTTGTGGGGGCGGCGGGAATGTTGAGGATGTCACTTTACTAAACCCTGTTGTAAAGTGGGGTCCCCCCGCTCCGCCAAAGTTGTTCTCGTGCTTCCGAGGCTCGTGGCAGCGAAGCGCCGCCCGACAGAAGACCCGGCCTGTGAAAGCGGCCTGAGGATATCATGTGAGCCCAAGGGTGCGGCTTTGTTTTGCGAGGGTATTCAGAAATTCAGGTTGGTATGCCGGGTAGAGAGGAAACAAAAGGGCTCCGCCAACAAAGGGCGAGAGCCAGATTTTAAGGACCATGACCAATCTTTGGCTTCCTTTCGCACTTGATTGGAGACCCGAATGATGAATCACTTTGATGATGCACTTGCCCAGGGCGAGTTTTGATGTTTTGACCCCTTGGTTCACTGATAAGATCCCGTCATGTTGGAACAAGCAGCAAAGTGTCGAATGAGGGGTGAGTCCCTCAAAAAAGCTTGATAGAGTCGATAGAAAACGCTCACAAAACACGTTGGGGGTTCACAACGTGGCCTGGGTTGCATTCCAGTATTCATGTTGTATTTGGTTAATAATTGGCGTACTAGGTTTTTGGTATTGTGCCAAAACGCTGTGGTGCTGTTGAGCATTAGCTTGCATTGGCCTAGAATTGATTCTATTCTCGGTTTAGTATCGGTGCAGTAGTGCTTTGGTATTGGCGTAGTACTGGCTGAGGGTTGGTTCAGCATTGGTGTGGCATTGTTCTAGTGCAAGTGTCCAAAATGCAGTTTTGTGTTTATCCTCGATTTTCCGCGTGAGATTTCATGATTCGTCCTTATCAGGGGCTTCGCGGTCCCACCTGAGAGCATGTGTTTGCGGTTGTTGAGGATTGGAGGGACAGGGCAATCGGTAAGCTAGGGCCTACCAGGGTAACCCAAAGCTTCGTGTTGTAGGTGATCGAGGGAGCCCCAGATTTGGAGGCTCTAGGTCTACGTGACTCACAGATAGAGTTGTGGATGTGGGGGCCATCGGCTCAGGCACCTACTTGTGGATGAGCGATCGGCACATAATGTACGCGCTTCCTTTGGATGGGATGTGGCCAGAAGTTGCGCTTGGCGTTTCCAAGAACGCAAAGACAACCTCAGTTGTTCAGTGGCACCCTTTTTCCCCCTTATTTTTTGTGGCTGCCCCACTAAAAATGGTCTTCCCCAAAAAGGGTTCCCTTTTTTTCTCCAGAGTCACTGAACAACTGAGCAACAGACGACAAATTGCAATGGAGCTATTTGGGCTCAGGCCAGCCCGCTGATCGTCCGTGGAAGGCCTTTGCAATGGGCAAATTCCTCGAGGCATTCACGCAAGAGGGCATCACCAGCTTCGGCACGGCGGAAGCACTCGGAGCTGCCACCGAAATATTGAGGAAGAAGAAAAACTTCCTGAAGAATGTCGAGCTCCTAAAAGCAACAGAGGAATATGAACGGCAGGCGTTTAAAAAAGAGCTGAAGAAAATCGAGCGGCTGCAGAATGAGGTTGATAAGGCCCGAACATCAAGTACGAAGCACAAGAAGTTGTGCGAGCTCGTTGGAAACTTGCTTGAGCTAGCTCGCTTAGGATGATTTGGGTATGGCTCAAAACTAAACACCAGGGGTTCGCAGGATTGGAGCGATCCTTTCCCTACCGAATGGCCGTTTTGGGGTGTCCTTGTTTGGTTTGCTGCCACTCCGAGTTTTCTCTGACTTGGTCGGGGGTGACAATCATGTTTAGCATTTGCGTTGGTGAACTTTGCCACTTAGGACAGCCGCCGCCGGAGTACTCGACGATGTCAACAACCCCAGAAAGCCACACGGAGGGCGTGCGCCATAGCGCGCAGGCTCGCCGAGCTGTCGTTGAGCCGCATGAAGGCGGGCTCCAGGGTGCTCAGCGTTTGACCGCCGAAGGTCTTTTCAGGGACGATCCGGTGACCCTTTCTTCCGGATTCTCCCGGCCCCTTTGAAATAATATCCTTTCCACGCAGGTGCGCAACTTCTTGCCAGCCTTGTGAACAGCGACGCACAGCAGCTTCAAACAACCAGACTCTTCAGAGGAGTTCCGTCACTGTGTTCAAACGTTAACATGGGCGGCTGCATGTTGGCTTGGCACCAATCTGTGGCAACGCGACAGACAGCAAGTGCCCGCAAGCATTCGTGCCTCTGCGCAAGTAGAGGCTGAGTTGTTTTTCGCGCTGGAAGGTTAACAGGCGCAAGCCATAGCCTAGCCACAGATGCAGGGTGTTGCGCTGCCAGTTTGCCAGCCTCATTTTCACGTCCAAAGGCCGTTTAAAGCAGGCATGTTCCGCAAGGACCTTTTGGGGAAGACGGCAGAAAAGAACAGTCTTTTCATGGTCCAAATGGCTTTCTGGGACAAAAGAAGAAGGGGATAAAATGCTTGGGTTGCGCAGGCGCTTCTTTCCAAAGACTGCAAAACGCTGCAGGACCAACGCAGCGGATGTGGTGCGGCGGAGTAGCTGAACATTCCAAGCAAGATCAGCTCGCGGTGCTCATCCCTCCAGCCGAATGTGGGCCAGGCACGGGGTGGAAGCCACTTTGGGGAAATCTGCCGGCAGTTTCCGAATTTTGAAGCTCGCTCGTTGGACATGCCGAGGCTGCAGAGCAGAGGGCTTGCAATCGGGCTTGGGTTGGACAAGTCATGGAGCTCGCAGACTGCGCTCGCTTAAACTTCCCAAGTTGCAGTAAAACCTCTTCAAAGGACTTTCCATCACTTTGTTCACAGGAAAGTTGCTTGAGCCGCGCCCTTGGCCAGGGACGCATAAATTCGATGGGAGTTGGCTTTAGGGACCTTGGAGTTTGGTTGTGCTCAAAAAGAGTCCACAAGGGTGTCTAAATGTGTCTAATATAATTCGGGTGCGCTTGTTTGACTCGGTCATCCCTGGCCGTGGTGTAAAAGGGCCAAACCCCCGGCACCCCTCTCGCCCAGTTTGGAGACCCGCAGTCTGGGAGGCTGAGTTGTTTTGCACTGGAAGGTTGACAGGCGCAAGCTCCGGCACGGGCCTAAGTCTTCCCAAACTGTGTACCCAAGAAGGGCCACAGAGCGCAGTCGAGCACATGCGCCCTAGCAGACAACTTGTGTGGTGAACAAAACGACCCCGTTCTCGAGGGACACCAAACACAAGCCCACCCTCCCTGTGCCCCAAATCTGACAACCTATTCATTTGTTACAGGCTGGTTTACAAGCATTTCTCTGAAAGGATTCTAGATGATAACTACAAAACAACTGATCAGAATCTTTTTCACCAGCCAGCCCCTATCGCCCTGCACCACAAGGTGGCCTGGATTGCATTGAAGTCAGCCAAGAACATGATCTTCACAAGGCATGCCGAGAGAACAACCTGCCGGCTGTGGAGCGTTTGCTGGCCGCGGGTGGTGTGGAAAAGTCCGTGACCGGTGTCACACCCCTTGGCATAGCTTGTCGCGAAGGCCATGTGCAGTTGGTGAAGCTGTTGATCGAGTTTGGAGCTGACCGGGGGAAGCCGTGCGATGGGAATATGACCCCCTTGGTCACGGCAGCCCAGTTCGGTCACCTCGCGATTGTCAAGCTACTCTTGGTCTCCGGAGTTGTGCCAGATCCGAAGGCCATTGAGCGAGCCAAGCAGAAGAGCCACAACGACATCGTGTCCATGTTGCACAACTACAACAGGCTGTACAAGGCGGCCAAGAACGCACGCACCACCGCGTAAGCTGGGCTGTTCAATTCTAAGCCCAAAGCCTAAGCCTTATTTGGGACCTTGTTATGAATTCACCATCTAAGATCGCCCCGTCGCATCCCCTCATTTGAACAACCCAGATACATGGGCAAGACTCAAGCAGGCGCAATTTACCTTGCAATGGTTCTGACCCCAAGTGTCAGGTTAAGCCCACAAGAGGAGGCATGCGCAGCCTCCTTGCATTTTCGCCGAGGACGTGCAGAATGAGGGCACCTTGTCCTAGCTTAGAGCAAGGTCAAGAGCGCGCTCTAGTGTAGCTTGCGCAGCGCCGTTGCATTTTGATGGCATGTGCGCAAGTACTTCTCCCTTTTCCCTCCCTAGCCTAGAGTAGTTGAGTTAGGGGTATGATTCAGTTTAGCTTGCAGCGCATCGTTGCAGATCGGAGGCAATTAGGCCCTTGATCCTAGCCTGGAGTTGCCAAGGGCATGTCGCAGGTCAGTTTGCACGACCTTTGCATTTCTGCTGAGGGCATGTGCATAACCTCCCTTTTACTACCAAAAGAGAGGGGCAAAGTTGGTTCAGAAACCGATATCACCATCATTAAGTCTAAGAGCAGCTGTGTGTTGAGCATGTTGAAACAAGGAGACGGCCCAGCGACCCTGCTCATCTTTGTGTTCTCGATCAACCCATTCCCACGTCTCATGTGCATCTCCAACCGGCCCAGTCGTTTCCGAAGAAGAAGTGCATCCTGTGCACCAGAGGGATCATTGAACATATGAATGACTTTTGAACATGTTGAGTACATCTGAGACGTTTTGCCCCCCCCCCCCCTTCTCTTGAGGGAGGGCGCGTGTTCTGCTTGGGATGGGCCACTTTTCCTGTGAGTCGTGGGAAGAAGACGTCGGAGACGTTCTGATTGTTGCAGGGGAAGCCGCCCTGCAATGGGTGAACCGGTGGAACCAGTTAGTTGAGTTCGTCTCAAAAGCACAGGTGCCCTTGTCGTTTTATGAAACCTTTTTTTTTTGGTTCACCAACTCAGCAGGGGTGCCGCCATTTTGAGGCAGACCCAGCTTGGGACGCGTAGGTACCGGCTCCCCCGGCCCGGGGCAGCCCTGACTCAAGTTTACTTCCAGTAGAATGTGTACAGAAGCCGCAAAAGCGGAGTGAGATGAGGGAGAGTGAGACTCACAGCTCAAATCCTTCCTGGTTTCATTTGCAAAAAAGGACGAGCTGTCGGCCAGCTAGGGAGAAGTTTGACTCAATCAGAACACCTCTCCAACTGTTCCGCAGATATGCAACAGCAAGCCCAGAAGGAGGGGGGTCACAAACACGATAGTGCGACCAACAGCGCTGGTTTTCTGTAGCAACCCCAGCTATTCTTGCCTTCTTGCCTGGAGAATGGTTATGAGGAACGCCTCTCTTTTGTGTTTTTGCACAGTGGAAGAGCAGTTTAGAATTACTATCTTCCAGGACCAAGCCGATTGTTAACCGATCGCAATCTAAATGAAAGACGATCATCTAGGCAAACAATTGGCGTGCACAGCAGTAACTTCGTTGTTTTGTTTTTTTTTTTTTACCAGAAGCCTGTCAACACATGTGCTCTGGGAAACAAAAAGGAACGGAGGACAACGCACAAAGCAGCATGAAGCGTTGGCCACTCGTGGCTCACTCTGGATCAAAAGGCGACGATGGTTTAGGCAACCAGGCAACCCATTGCTTTGCCTCCTGACAGGATCGAGTGTTTGTGCCATCCTGGTGCCTAGGGCGAGTACCACGACGGAATTGCTTTGCTCAGTGTTTGTCTTTTTGTGTGTGTGTGTGTTTGGGTGTCATTACTGTCCCAGGTGCAAGGGTGATGTGGTCGCAAAACAAAGCGATTTCTCCACTGGTAGGCAGTGTGCTTGCAAGAATGTTCCTTTATGTTTGGTGTTGAGTTGAGTTGAATCCCATACACTTTGGCCTTGTCTCTTGTACTTTGCTTTTGGGGTAGGCCTGACGCTGAATGTAATTGTGGATGTCAACCTTCGGGATGCTCCAGTTCCCAAGGACTGGGGTTTGGAGCTGCATTGGGGCGCGCCCTGCATGGACAGATTGACACCTATTCTTGGTTCGTAAACATGTCACCTGTTGCTGGTTGAATCGCCACACATGTTGTTCTGCCCCCTTTCAATGCCAGGCAAGTATTTGTTTGTTGGCAGCCGCAACGTACAGCCATGCAGACCGTATTGGATTGTGAGCTGGCTCCGCCGTAGGCGCGGCGACAAACACATAATCCCAGGCATCCATGTGGGCGAGATGTCCAAGGAAGAACTGGAGCAGACACGTGTCTTTGCTGCAAAAGATTGGGCGGGGGGGGGGGGGGGGGAATTTGTGGATGTGGCATGACTAGCCAAGACGGAGACTTTCCTCACCCGTGCTCCTCCAACCAGCGAGGAGGCCTCCAAGTACTCTTAAGTTGGTGTCAGAACAAACTCCAGTTGGACCCTTGTCCATTTTCGCCCCAGCCCACCGAACGTCACCTCGGGCAGGGAGTCAACTTGCAGTCCCCATCGAGAACCAACGCATGGGAGCGAGCCACTGGTTTCTATGTTCGGAGTCAACCGCTGAATCCTGCATGGAGCCTAGGGCCATGCGCCGAAAGGCTTGAGTCCGGTTTCTACGGCGTTTTTCCAGCTTCTGGTTCTGCTAAGCACTTTCCTGGAAGCTTGATTTCCATCACTGCGACTGCAGTACAAAACCATTGTCACGGAAACATGTGCAATTTGGAACAAGCATGACAGACACTTTGGTGGAGGACCCCACCAGCATTTGCCCAACTGACCTTGGGGACGGGTGGGTTGCGTCGCATGGTCTATAGTCAGAGCTTTACCCCGAAAGCACGACGTTCAATTGACAGAAACCACGGCGACCCCCTCGCTACACTGGGGGGAAGGTATCTGAGCTTTGAGCCACAGCCATGTCCACCAAACCTCCAATCAAAAATCCCCAAGCGCCAACCAGCCACGAGCCGAGGACAGGAGGCGCAGTTGCTGAAGGCACTGCAGCATCCTCACATTGCAGCTCGGCCAGTGCTTTGTGTGTTCTCACCAGGAGATGGACACCCCCTGCAAACGGGTTTCATGTGGGTTGCGAACAACCCAGACTGTGGTATCCAGTCTCATCACTGGGACTGCTGACATGCATGTCACCAACCTTCAGGATGGAGTCTTGTATGTTTGTGACATACTTGTTTGAACCAAAGCAAAAAGCTGGGTACATTTCTCGGCATGTAGAGGTGGACATCTCTGTAGATGGCGAGTGGCATAGGCTCAGGAGGGAGTCAAAGAATCACCAAGATGATACCAAGCGGTTAGCTACCAGGAACATGTCTGCGCCTGAGTGACCCCTCACCCATCCGTATCCATGTGGCGACCAGGCGCATTGATCCGTTTGTGAAATCCAGAACTCCCCTCCGACCGGCCAAGGAATCGTTTTTGGACCACATTTTGGGCTTCATGTCAAGTTGCAGGTGTGTGTGTATAAGCTTGTTTGCTCGCGGTTCTCAACGAGCGCTCAAGTATGGGGACACTGAAGGTGCTTTGCAGACTGGCTACCTTTCAGAGCTCAACTTTGCCAAAATCCAATGGTTGGCTTCCATCAAGTCTCTTGTTTTGACGTATCGAGTACTTGGTTTGTTGAATACAGCATAATACAGCAACCTCAGCCTTTAGAGTCATGTCTCCTTAGCACCGGCTTAAGATCGGCAGTGGGCCCACAAGCGGACGAGGACGAGAGGGTCGTGTCACCTCGCGTGCGCTACCGTTGATCCCGGGTGACCGTGTGAACGCCCGAAGGCATGCGATGCTCTCCCCCAAACCATCCAGATGCACGACCCGATCGCCCACTAAGGGCCTACAAACATTCTTAGGCGTTGGGCTGATTGTGTTTGACCGGAAAACTGCTGGAACAAAAAGCAACAACAGCACAAACACACGAAGCTGTAACAACAAATATGGCCTTGACAGGTTTTGTTGACGGCGGGAAATCACTGGGGCCGGGTACCTGAGGGGAAGAGGGTGTGAGGATGACGGCTTGGCCCGAGGTACAATACATGGGGAGCTGGATGAACAGACAGATGGAGGAGCGGACAGAAAGGGGGGTCGCTTGGGCTCCGTGTCAGGCAGACTTGATTATTTTTGGTCGCCCAAGAAGCCAACTTGTTTGATCCTTTCCTCGCGTTTCGTGTCGATCCATTTTGGAGGGCGCCCTCAAAGGATCGAGCGTTTAGGCGGCTGACTCCCAGGCTCCAAGTTCAGCGACACCAGCTAGGCGTCGCCGCAGTTTTTTGGCGAGACTCCCGTGTTGCGATGCCCAAGAGCCTGGTACAGGCTCATTTGCTTGAGTATCAGCTCGTGTGGAATCGACGGGCTTGGACAAGAGGCGCGTGCATAGGTGTCCTTCCTGGTTTCACTTTGGTTGAACATTGCCAGGTTATAGTTCTGGTCGCTGGTGTCAATTGATTATGTTTTGTTGATGCAAGTCAGATTCCATGTCTTGCGAGGTAGGTCGTCTTGCATGGTAAATCACCGGCTCAAGCCACACGGGATTCTTGGTATGGCAGGGGCAGGAAACATCCTGTCATCTACTACGGTTTTGCGCGCCTGGCAGGCATCTTGAATTGTTCCTTACAGGAACAACATGGGATGAACACGTTGGTGATTTTCCAGACCCGAGTTTACCCTTTCAACAACATCCATGGAACATGACTAAAGGTCATGAGCCGTTGCAAATAGCTATGTTTTAATCGTTTCTGCCTTGCTTTATTCACCTTTCAGATGAACATGGAACCCAGCCAACCATTCTGTGTTTGTTTTTGCAAGACTCAGCTTACCTCTTTTTTGTTGTTTTAAGTGTTCCTGTTTCAGCTAGGAATTCAACTGTTTGGGCCTAAGGCTGGGCTTGAAGAAATCCCCTCCGTGCCGTCAGGACTTGATCATCGTGCAAGACTACTGCGACGGGGGGGACTTGGCTCACTACGCGCCTCGCTTTGAAGCTTCGACCGGGAACCTTTAGCTTGGGAACCTGTCGATGTGTCCATGTCTGTCTTCACTCAGCGCGGGCGCTTAACCCGACCTTTTGCCATTGACATGCGTCTCCCACTCAACGGCAAGACTTGTGGTGGTTGTTTTTCCCTGCGGGGTCCCACTAAACCGCAACACCGATTTTTGGGGGGTGTTCCCTCTGAGCAGGATGCACTTGACCAGGTGTTCTTCAAGAAGAAGAGCCAGGAGTTGATCCCGGAGACCAGCGTCGTCCAGTGGCCGGGGCCCCGGCCAGGTCTCACTTATCTTGGGTAATCTACCGCCTCCCGTTGTCTCAGTCCTCTAAGGAGACCATCCTAACCCCTGGCAGGGGTTTGGACCAGAATGCTTGTAATTGTAGACTTTTAGAGCTTCGAGGATGTGCCACTAATGATCCTTTTGGCAAAGGACCAATGAATCGCTTAGCATGGAACCTGACTGGGCTCGTGGATGACAATTTGCTCGCTCTTATAGGTTCCACGATTTAGTGGGGCTTTCCGTTGTTGTGTCCCGGACTAGGACATGATCTCCTCCCCGCCCACTTTGCACTGATTCTTGCAAGGTGTATGTATGGGTGTCCTAAAAGTGCTTGCTATTTGTTCTTGGTGGCATGCGAATCTGTTTTGCATCGTCAACCTGAACAGCGAGAGGAGGGTTCACCATTGTTTTGCTTTTTGTTGGTTTGCCCGAAAGCACCACCCAAATGGTGTCCTTTTCAATCATTTATATATTTGTGGGGAGGGTGTGCGTTATGACACAAGTGGTCGGAAAGGGGGTGAATTTCTGTTGATTGGCTGGCATGCTGGTGTATAGAAGTACATAGCTTGGAAGGTACCAACCAGGAAGGAACCCATGTGTGATGGAGGCTTGGATCACAGATACTTTTCTCCCGAGCACCATTCATGGTTGGAATTTTAATGTTTGACCTTCATTTGCACCCCTCAACATTCTGACTCCAGGGATCCTTTCTTTATACGGAACTTAGGCCACGACGTTGGGGAATAATCTATAGGGCTAAACGACTGCTAATCTGTCCCTTCTATAATCATGGCTAAACTTGTTTTTGTCCGTCCCTCACAGCCCCTTTCCAATTACTGTATGTAGGCCATAGCACAGATCGTTGTGTCACCCATGAAGGGAAGGTCTCCGCACTCAAATCGCCAGAAGAGATGTATATTTAGATGTGAAGTGATTCTGAGTGAACCCTAAGTTGGGTATGTGTCACGCCCGGAATCCATCAGCATGATCGTTTTTAGGCCAGTGGCCTGTTGAAGTGCGCCGAAACAAGGTACCCAGTTTTGACCCCAGTGTTGTCCAAAGGGCCCCTGCTGCTTGCCTGCAAGATGCATTGACGTACAACCAACAAAGGGGATGCCCCCAAAAGGCCCGCGCATGAATCGCTGCGACCTGTACGGATATCCCTTTATAAGCAGATTCGCTCCACACGGGGACAATGGTAGAGGGATCACCCCGGCCTATATGACTGCTTAGCTGAGAAGTACCAGGAAAACAATTCCTTGGGGCAAGTTCCTCTGCAAAGAACGTTTTCAGAAATTCCATGTTGAGGGACCCTGTTTGCGTTTGCCTGTTTGTTTGCCTCCATGTTACCTTTTAGTTTGGTCAACGAAGGGGTGCAACATGCGCAGCAACGAACAAGTAGGCCGGGCCCCGTAGGTTGGCGCAGCTGACCCATGCTCTTCTCTATTGCCACAAGAAGGCCAAGATCCTGCATCGAGACCTGGCCTGAGCTTTTCCCAGGTCCCTTGGTACCTAAGAAGTACTTTCACTCCTTCAAAACCCCTCAAAGGCTACTTGGATCGGCTTTAGTGGGAACCCGTTTGACTTAGGCAGAACCCCTGGGGGGCGTCCCAATTGAGCGAGTTCACCCTGGCTTTTGGGGGAAGCCAACACCCCATCTCTAAGTCTTGACATTCCCCTCTTGGAACTCGACACTTGGTTAGCTGGACTGTCGTGGGAGGGGGGAAGCCTTCCCCCCCCCAACGACTGCTTTCGACATCACTTGGAGTGTGGACACGGGAAAATTGCAATCGTTGAAGGGTCCCGGGACATGCTGAGACCTTTTGCTTGTTAAACGGCATTCTCATATATGCTGAATGCATTCTTGGTTGCGTATGCCATTGCCTTGTTTGGTTTGTCCATGTGGCGGCTTGCGCAAGAAATCCAGCAGTCTATCGTCCATTTAGGAGTGGCATGGAGGACTCACCAAATTTCTCACGAAACCAGGGACTCATTGATGGTCCCACATGGCTCACGTGAGTTCTACCTCAAACTTGCGGATGTTCATGGAGGTCCCGTTGACCAGGGCACCCTAAACGCGTACAAACGGGTTCCAGCTTGCACCAAAGGACAATGTGCGTAGCATCTTAGAACCCATTTGTTAGAACCTGCTTAGAGTCACCCAAATCGACCTGCTGACATTGAGAGTTTCCTCGGGTCGAAAGTGTGGCTACCTTTGGAGGCTTCGGGGCATGACCACAAGCAACAGACATTCAGCTTAGCGGAATGTTTGGGCTTGCCTTCAACTCCAAATCCAAACCACCAATGCAAAGCACCAACTAGGGGATATTTGATGGATGACTGTTCCAATCAACGCGCCTAGGAGACCTTAAGCCCACGAACGTCTTCCTCACCGAGGATCGGGCTGCGCAGTGACGAGTGAACCCAGCCATTTTCTCAGCTTCCCCAAACAAACTTTTTTTGCGCACCCCGAGGGAAACTGCAAGGGGATGGCACTTTGTTGGATTCAGAAGCCCTATTGAACACCTCTCTTTCGGCGCAGTTGTGTAAATGTGAGGGGCTCTCCCAAAGCAATACAGGATGCCTTTTTTCGTCTATGGGGGTTTTGGAGGCAGGCAAGGGAGCGGCAGGGGGAAGAAATGAAGGCAAGCAGCCGTGAGCCTCGCTTGCCTCTTTCTGACACCCCAGAAGCACCCCTTAAGCTCAGGCGGAATTGTTGGCCTTTCAGCCCATCAGGGTCAAACTCAGGTTTGGGGTCCTCACTTCTCAGACTGAATGTGATGATGCACATGGTGGACTCTTTCGCCAGAGCAGTTGCCTGGACTCGCTGGTTGAAAAAGAGGGTTTCTTTTTCAAGGGTCTCTTGAACTTGCAAAAAGAGAAGCGCTCCGAAGGCAAAGTCCACGATGCTTCACGATATGAGGGGCTGTGTTTCTTTGAGGTTACCCACCTTTGGGTGGTTTCACTTGGAAACCAACGGGAAGCGAATATAAGCCAACCATTTTTGGGGTTTGAGAAAAACCGATGTGTCATAATAACACTTTGACAATGTCAGGCCAAAGAAAGGCCCCCTTCCGGCAGCTTCGGTGGCATATCTTGCCAACCTTGAAGTGGGGGCCCCGGATTTGAACCGCCCCAGCTTTGATGGTCTGGCCAGGTCCTGTACTGTCCGAGTAACATTCCATCACCTGCATTGCACAAAGCAAAAACAGCCAACTTCCCAGGCTTCTTTTTTCAAAGCCCATGTACCAAATTCTGAACACCGACCTGTTGCGCGTTGTTTTTGTTCTCCTCCCACGCCCATTTTTGGGTTCCATGTTCATTTGTAGAGGAGAGCATGCGGGCGGGCGGGGGGGGGGGGGTGGATTGGGTCCAAGGGGTCCTACCTGCTTCCCTTTGAATCTCGCGCGCACGCACACACACACAGAGAGACACACACACACAGACATACAGACACACACACACACACACACATCCCTGACTTTGCAGGGGAAGCATCAATGTTGGAGTTCCTTTTAAGCTGAGGATAGGCCTTCTCAAAATAGGGTTGTTCCAAATAGGGTTGGTGTCACGGTGTCCTTTTGGTTCTTTGCCCAAATCGACTCGGAGCACATCGGTTCGGATGTCCGAGGACCTGCAGTCGGTGCGGCTCGGGGACTTTGGCATCGCCAAGTCTCTGAAGTCCACGGCCAGCCTCTGCCAGACTGTGGTGGGCACTCAGGCGGCGGCGGAAGGGGTGGGAGGCGGCTTCTCTGGGGGGGGTGCTCGTTGTTCCCCGTGTTTTGGGCTGTTTAAATGAGAAACTCCAGGAACAAAAAGCATGCTTGGTTGGGGTAGTTCAAGGTGCCGAATAGTTAGTTGCAGAATATTTTCCTCCGATCATGGCTAAAGTTGATGTCAAGTTCAACCCCATGGTACATGTTGAAGGCTTCTCAGAATTCCTTTTGGGTCCCGGTGAGTTCCCTTTAAGCTACCAACAATATGGGCAAGGCTTGGGTACAGAGCCTGGCACGTGATTTCGGTTTAGGGGTCAAACCAAAAAATCAACAGTTTATGTTGGTCTGTCCATGTTTTAAGGGTATCCATGGTACCCCCCGCCCCTTTGGGGTTTGAAACCACTCATTTTGGGTGTCCCCTTGAGACAAAGCCATTTTGGTTTAGAAAAAGCCGAGCCCTCGCGCTTCAGGCCTACATGAGCCCGGAGCTCACCCGGATGCAGCGGTACGGCATCAAGACAGAGGTCTGGAGCTTGGGGGCCACTTTGTACGAGATGCGGCCTGGTGAGCAAAGCACGGGCGGAAGAATTGTGTAACTGTATCACTGGGAATGGCCGGTGACTGGAATCCAGCCTTCAGACATGGGCACATGTGTGTATACCGTCACCATGTTGCCATTATATGGAGTGGCTGGCAAGTGCAATTGCAGGAAAGGGTGCCCCTTGTTTCTTTGGCAACAGCAATCCCGCTTGACCCCCAATCGACGATTTGGATTGGGACCCCCCCCAGGTCTTTGGAAACCAAATGGAAAGGTGCCCTGAACCCGGGATCCACCAACGCAAATAGCCAATCAAGAGCAGTGTGATATCGAGACCTTGTGTGATGTTTGCGGCATTGCTTTGGTGTCGCCGATCTGTTGACAAGCATGGTTGCGTCGAGTGTCCTGCTAGAGAAGGAAGCCCGGCTTGCGACGAGACCGTAATGGACGTGGAATAAATTCATTAAGAAATACATGAAGTGCAGTGACAAGGGAAGGACAAGGATCGGGAAAGGGAAGGCAAGGTGAGACAAGGCGATAAAGGGAGGAGGAAGCAGACTTCCAAAGCAACTGGAATGGGCCGAGAATTTGTGGCTTCTGGATTGACCAATCCCTAGATTGAGAATTGAAGGTCAGGGATGATCCCCCAGAAAGCTAGGGCAGTTAAGAAAGAATTGCCGCTTTTGTGTGGATGTGTGTTTCCTCCGATCGCCATTTGTGTTTGTCAGCAGCAAACTGATCGATTTCAATCGGGTGCCATGCACCTTAAACTTTGGTATTCCAATGCAGGATGACGTACTGTGCCAATCACCCCATAAACGTGGTCCGACGCAACGAGGTTTTATCACAGAATAGAGCAGAATGAGTGAGAGATCCCACAATGCAAGTCAAACACGCCCCAGGCTTTAGGGCCAAATGCGGTTCCCAGGTGAGACAAATCCAAGTAAGAGGGCTGTTCACTTGATTGCTTGTTTCAAGCCGCTCGCTTGTGCTTTCCCTAGGGCCTTGAAGGCTTGACTGTTGATAATCAATTCGAACCATGTGTTCCAGTGCTTCATTGAGAGTGCTACAAGTAGAAGCTAATGTGAAAACGCATAGGCACGAACTGGCCGGACATGGTTTCCCTTTTACACAGCCCCAAAACGGGCACCCGTCAATGCAATGCCCGCGAAAGGACAACACCAGTGGCTGGAGATTGTGTTAGTGTCCAGGCATACTGTGCACCCAGTCTTATGTTCAATCAGGGGACCCGAACAGGCTCTAATATAGCGGGTTCTGGCCTGCACGAAAGGACAATTCTGTGTGTCGCATCCTTGTTAGAACCCATTGAGGAGACAACATAAACACGCTTCTTTGTGGTGTACCATTGTGGGGTGATCCGGCTGTGGGGGTGAGCGGTGCGCCAAGCGGTGGGGTGAGATGTGGGTCCATGGAGTGTGAATCCACGCGTTCGAGCCCCCAGGCCCATGAACTTCGGACGTCTACACATGTGGCTCGCATGCCTGACCCATCTCTGGCGCAAAAGCAACTTGCTCGATTCCCGAAATCTCGCCCGGAGAGTTCTCCAACAACAGCGCACATGAAAGCGCCAGGCCCATCTTGGAAGACGAACCGCTTCCTTTTGGAAAGGGCTCCCACGCAACAAACCATGCTAGCAAAATACATGCAAACATCCGACTCCGCAGCTTGCAAGCGCTGTCTCTCAAGTTTACCCAGACCACCACTTCAGAGTCATATTTCTGCTTTGGCGTCTGGTCTAGGGTGCTGCGTTGCCAAAAAACCTCAAACTTGCTGATTCTCTCAGCAAGGTGTGTGCCACTCTTGTAAGCTTGAAGGCTAGATGTGCAGGGTGCTGCCATACAGATCAGCCATGATCATGGATTGGCGACCTGTTTCCGAATTTTGCTACGCCAGCTTGCTTCTGGTAGGCTGCCTTTTGTGCAAATAACTGAGCAGCCAGAGATTCGGCAGGGGTTCAGCACGACTTTCGGTACTGATTGGAATTCTGTGTGGTTTCTGCTGACCGCCCCCTCAAACCTCTTCCCCAATTTGGACAGGGGGTTTCCTTTTGGTTACCCATTAGCCAACCTGAAAAGGTACGCTCAACACACACACACACACACACCCAAAGGGACGTTAGAAGCTTTCATCAGGCGAACAATCATGTTTTGGTTGGTTGGGACCAGCCCCGTCGACTTGAGGTGCGTCCAGGAGAAGCTTTACGACTCCCCGGACGTGGTGCTGCTCGTGCAGCCCTTTGGATGCAACCACTCAATTCCCCCCCCCCCCAACAAAAAAGAGAGGCAGTACTACTAATAATAATAATAATGCAACAACTATATATACAAAGAAACGACAACCGGGTAATCACTGATGTTCTCGTGTCCTTTCAGGGGAACAAGTGAGCTTGACCGTGACCCGTATGCGTATATATATATATTATACATCCATATATAGTTAAAGTTGGATTGACAGTGTAAACACCTGATGACCTGTGTGTGACAGCACGGCACTTGTTGTACTCGGGCGCAAGCAGTGTCTCTAATGTATACAGGCTCAAGGCCTTGATCATGTAAAGGTGCAAGGGAATGTACAAGGGTGGATGTATCTTAACACCCCACCTTGGATTGATGTATCTCTACAGCAAGCCAAACAGTTGTGTTCTAGCTGTTCGAGGTGATGTAAAAGTTGTTATCAGCTCTACTGGCTGTTTCGCTTTGTACATCGATGCCTCTAGTGTATCGAACGTCTGTACAAACTGCATGTGTAGCCTGATGTCTGCCAGGTGTGTCTGCAACACCATGTATCCACAAAATCCGGTGTGCCAAAAATGGCAATCACTGTGTGAGCAGTGTGGATCCCTGCTTCATCCCTGTGAGGTACTCGTTGTAGATCTTTGCCTTGGTTGCAGCATAGTTCATGTAGAACAGGTGCTGCTGTTCGAGGATGTAGGCAATGTGATCCGGATGGCCTGGTACCGCTTGTCCATCAATTGTGCCGCGAGTGTTGAGGCTGCGCGCATCCTGCATCGAAATGTGCTTCACAAGCGTCACCTGATGTGCAGGTGGCAAATGTTTGATGCTGGCCACGCCCATCAAGGACAATGCCTGTGCTGCTGTAGCGTGCCTGCGACTTGTCTCCTCATCTGTGGCAAGTTGTTCAAGATTCACACAAGCGTTGTAAGACCAAATGTACCCTGTGCTCCAGTTGTACTTCATGTAGATCCCGAGCAATCCATTGTTGCCCGTGTACTTGAAGACCTGATGTTTCAACAGCTCATCCTGTGTCTGAACCCATGTCTTGCTCATGTGGATCTGCATGTGGGCTGCGCTGTAGCCACGATTGAAAAAGTTGATGTAACCACGGGATGCCCATTCAGCGATGTGCCTTGCATCCAACATCCAACTGCACTGTAGCCACGATGAATGTGTCCAAGCGCTGTGTGCGGCATGTCCCTACAGAGATGTAGTTCAACAGTGTTGTACCCGCCTCAAACGGGGAGCTGTTCAACACAATGTAGTCAACCTCTGGGCTTCTGGCCCAGCCGTGAATGTGTCTCAGCTCTCCATTTGTGGTCCATGCTGTAAACTCCTCAAATGTCATGGCGATGTACATCATGTTGGATTTGTGTTGGATGCTGTCCATGTGGATTCCATCCAATGTGCGCAGGGGCTGTTTGCCGGTGATGTTCTCCTCGATGTAGCCCAAGGATGTGACACTCACCGCGTCCCATGTCCTTGCCACTGTGATCTCTGTGGCCGGGCTGTACTCGGCAATCCTTGTGAGTCCTGTCATGGCCATGTTGTACCTTCAATGTACAGAGAAGGTTCTCACCAAATGTAAAATGGCTGCGACAGACATCAAAGACACTGTCTGAAACATGTATGGAACCTCATGCAGTAAAAAATGTACCTGGGGATGTAAAAGAGGTGGTCAAAGTCGTCAAGACAAAGATGAACCCAAAGTTGTGTATCTAAACCAGAAAGGTTGTACTGTCTCCAGGGCAGGTCCATGGCTGTACCTAACCAAAGGCTAAAACATGTGTGCCGGCTGTTTAGTTGTGAAACATACACGTGTGTCAACTGTGCAACTGTTGTTTAACATGCTGTGGAACTGTGTGAAACTGGTGTTGTGTGACCTTACAGGCCAACGTTGTACAGGTGCTTGTTGAGAGTGTCGCAGCTGACAAACTTTGTCAGCAGGTCTGCTGGGTTGTCTTCAGACCTTACTTTGTGCATTGAAATGATTTGCTTTTGACAAGTTGTTGTATGAAGAGGTGTCGTAGCTCGATGTGTTTTGCTTTCTTTGATGTACCTTCTCTCATTGCTATTGGTTTTGCTGCACTGCTGTCTGTGTGTATCCTGATGTTGATGCGTACTTCAAATGCTTCCTTTATGAAGTTGCTGATGTAGAGGCTTTCCTGTGCTGCCGTACCGATTGCGTACAGTTCTGATTCTGCTGATGAAAGTGCTATTGTGGCTTGTGTTCCATAATGTACTGCTGCTCCAAAGAAGTACAGTACAAATCCTGTTGTGCTCTTTCTCGTCGTTTCACATGATGCCCAATTGGCATCTGTGTATGTGTCAATGTTGAGTGGTGTTCGCTTGTCTTGTGTTTGTATCTTTGGTCGCAAGTTGTGTCGCATGTACCTTGTGCCCTTGAGGTACCTGATCATGTGCTTGAGCTTCTTGTTGTCAAACTGTGTTGGTGCTTGTAATGACCTTGCTAGCTCTTTTGCTCCATAGCTGATGTCTGGTCGTGTGTATGCTAGCCATTGTATCTTGCCAACAAGCCGCCTGTATCGTTTGTGCTGTTCGTGGTCAAATGGTGCTTCGTCTTCTGCTGTACCTTTCATGTGTGACACCCCCTGGTGATGGTGCTGGGTTGCATGTAGTCATCCCTGACTCTTCCAGGATGATGTCAACATAGTTGTTGTTCAAACTGATGTCGATGTGATCACCTCTGTGTGAGATGTTCCTGCCAAGAAAGTGGATTGTTGATCCAACTGTTAGGTCGCCGGTGTGTCTAAGCAGAACTTCCTTTTGTATTCTGCTGAACAGTGTGTTGATGATGCTTTGTACTCCTATGAATAGGAGGTCGTCTACATAGATCATAATGTAGACCAGGCAATCCTTTGACCTGTAGACATTGCTTTCTGTTGTGCATCTCACCAATTCGAGTGTGACTGTGAGAACGTGTGCTATGTGCCATTGTTTTGGTGATGATCTTAGACCGTAGATGGCTGCTGCATGTAGAAATGCAACACTCACATCTCCTGTACAGACCGACCAGTTGTACACCAGTGCCATTGTGAGAAGCACTCTCAAAATGCAAGTCAATGGTGTACTTGCGAAGAGTAGGTCATGGTCTGTAACGGGTTCTCTGTAGCCTTTTGCTACTATGCGTGCTCGTACTTCATTGTGTTTTGGTTTTAGAACCCATCTTGATTCAATGATGTTCGCTTGTTGTTCTGGTGTCATTGTGTTGCCATGAAGACTGATTGTTCTTTCATTTGCTGTACTTCCTTCTTCATGCCTTGTGCTACCAGTTGTGGATCCAGGTCTTCTGTGTCATGTATGATCGGCTCTAGTAGGATCCTTTCATTTTCGTTTCTTGTGTGTCTTCATTGGAGGTTGTCTCCATTTGTCTACCATCCTTTGTTGTGAACTTGATGACATTGATTCGCATCTTGCTTTTTGGTTGTTCTGCTGTTGTAGGTCGCTCAAGGGTTTGTCTCTCTGCTGTGGTGCGTTGTTGCTTGCCGGTGCTGCCTTCTGCTATTGTATCATCTCTTTCTCTTGTCTGTGATGTGTGCGGTGGTGCTGGCAGTGATGGTCGTTTCTGATGTGCCGGTGATGTAGCCGTAGGTGATGTTGGCTCTGCTGTCCTCTTCTGCTTTGGCTGTTGTTCGCTCGACTGTGCTGCGCTTTGTCTCTTGTTTTCTGCTGCTGTGCATGTTGCTGCATCCTTCTGTGATGTAATTGTTTTGCTTGCTGATGGCATTGTTACTGGTGGTGTGAGAGTCGGTGTAGGCAGTGCTGATGCTGGTGTCTTCCATGGACCTGTGTGTACACAGTCCAATAGTTGCTGGTCGTATTCGTGAGGCATTATCTGCCTTCTGATTCCTTGCTCTGACAATCTTGTTGTAGATCCCGATGAGGGATTCGCCTGTAGTTGTATCCTTGCCAAGCCAGATCCCGTTGTAGAACCTTGGCTCTAGTTTTGGAAATTGTTTTACTGTTGGTAGCATGTGTTGCACTGTCTCACCAAACTCGCACCGTGGTGTATGCTGTTCTCTGTTCCATCTGTTGAAGTAGCTTGTGCATCCATTGCTGTGCAGAGCGTACCTGTTCATAATGTATGCACTATGTCGGACGACCCAAGGCATGAGTGGATGTTTGATTGGAATGTCTCTGTTGTAGTTTTGCTTGATCTGTGCCTTGAGTGTTCTGATTTGTGCAAACAATGTTCTGTGTGCTCGTTCTACTCCTCCTTGTGATTGTGAACTGTATGCTCCTGAGTTCCGGGCTGTGATGTTGCCATTCTTGCTTGCTACTGTAGTAATGAGTGCTGTCAGGAAATCTTCCTGATCTGATTATAGTATTGTGTGTGTTGTTCTTCCACACTCAATGAGGAAGTGCTGTAGCTGTGTGACTGCATAGTCGAAGAGCATCCTCGTGTCGGTCAATTGTATTGCCATGATCATCCCTGATTGGATGTCAATTGCTGTGAGGATTGGATGTACCTTGTTGTCATCGAAGCCTTTGATGTAGCCGAAGTCGAGCTGTATAATTGGAAGCTTGCTGTGCTGTTTTGGATGGTTGTTTTGTCTGCCTCTTGCTTGTACGCATATCGGACACCAACTCCTGTAAGGGAGGTGTGTGACATTGTGCTCCAAAATCTCCTGTGGTGTAGGTTGCTTGGGTGCCTGTACTGCTTTTGCTCTTGTGCCTTGTTGTTGTTCTTCATCACCTGACTCGAGCTGTGTTGGGAACTCCTGATGTTCCTCAAAGTTTGTCCAGCCTGTCCAAGGCTTGTCTGATGTCTTCGCTGGCTGTGTTGTCCATTCATCTTCTATCAACCTTGTGTGTTGTCTTTCTCCTCCAACTGGTTGTACCTTGGTCTGTCTCCAAGGTATGAGTCGTTTGATGTCTGGCCCGTCGTGTGTCTGCTCTGGTATGTAAAACGCTGTTCTAGGCTCAACATGTACTCTCTTCCAGTATGGGCCTTCTCTGTACCAGTAGTATGATGTACTTCTGAAGAATGTGGAAGTCCTTGTCCAGCTGCGCCTTTAGTGGTGTGCGGCGCAGATGTGTCCTGAAATGTTGGTGGTGTTGTTTTCTCCCTCAGCCGTGTGCGCGGTCTGTACTGAATCACTTGTGGTGTCACCTTCTGTGGTGCACTTTTTGGCTGTGTCTTTGTTGCAAGCTGTTGCTGTAGTGCCTCTGGCAATGTTGTGCTTTTTTTGATCCTGAATGTTGTTTCTCCTTTCCACATTTGCGGTTGTGCTCTGTTTGGCACTTCCATTGTTTGATACTTGTCTTCAAACGTGTTCGTTGTACCATCCTTGAGTCTGATGGTTGCTTTCCTGTAGTCCTCCAGTTGTTCTGCTGGGACTGGACACTGTGTTCTCGAAGGTGTGAAGAGTGTCTTTCTGTGTTGCCTGTGCACTCTTACAAGTTCACCTTGTGCATTGAACTGCCAGTAATCTCCTGCATAACCTGTGTCTGCAGGACCTTGTGGTGTCAATGTTGTGGTCGGTGCTATCATGCCGATCTGTCCTTGGTCCGTGTTGTGTATCTGTAGCTTTGTTCCTTTTGGCAATGCTGTGATTTCTGCTTGTAGGAAGAACAGGCCATTTCTGCTCTCCAGTGTGCTGTTAAATCCTTTGATGTGATGTAGCTTTGGATTGTCATCCAATGTAAGTTGGAAACCTTGTTCCACCAGCCTTGTAACTGAAAGAATCGGCTGTTTAACCTCACAAACATAAAATGGTATGACAATTTGTTGTCCGCTGTGGTTTGTCATGCAAACCCATCTGTGCCCATAAAGCTCGATGTGCTGGTTGGTCACTGTTCTGAGTTGTGGTCCTGTTCCATGTTCAAGTTGGTGTAGTGGAAAGTGTGGTGCAAACCATGGTGGGCATACATGTGTAGCCGCACCGCTGTCAATCATAAGACTGACCCACTGGTTGTCTTCTGAGTGTTGTTGCGCTGTGCCAATCATGGCAATTGTTACTTCTTGTAATCCTGAGATGGGTACTCCTAATGGATCCGCCATTTGTGGTGGTTGTGGCAATGCTAGTTGTTGCATGTGTGTCTGATCCTGGTGGTACCAATTGTTGTCATATTGTGAGTGACTGTACCAGTCATCTGTCTGGTCATTGGTGTCGAAGTTGCCAGTATCGCAGTTGTAGATCGCCACTCTGCATTGTTTGGCCATGTGTCCTGGTTGTCCACATCTGTAGCAAACATTTGTTGCTTGCTTTCCTTTGGATCCTTTTCCTCCTTGTTGGTTGCTGTAGTATCCTTTTCCTTTTCCTTTGTTGTTGTTGTTGTATCCTTTTCCTTTGGATTATCCTTGTTGTCCTTTGAAAGGATTTCCTTGTCCAACCGGTTGTTGATTGTACTTACCTTTTCCTCCTTTGTAGTTGTTGTAGCCGAAGTTGTAGCCGTAGCCGCCGTAGCCTTTGCCTTTGTGCTTGCCCTTCTTTCCTTTTCCTTTGTTGTACCATGTTGCTCCTATGTCCATTGGTGCCGGTCCTTGATTGTTGTTGCTGCCTGATGTGATTGACTGTAGTCTGGTGAATGACGCTGTTGCTCTGCAGTACTTGATCACCATCGATCTGATCTGTGCGTATGTTGTGATGTTTCCTGCTTGCAGCTGTAAATGCTGCTGTAGTGGTCCTTTTGTTTCATCGAGTAGCACTGCGATTTTAACTGCATCTGGTAGTAATGTATTGTTGTCTTGTTCGTACCTTGAGAGTTACCCCCAGCCCCCAGCCCCCAGCCCAGCCCCCAGCCCCCCCACCACCCCCACCCTCGCCCCGATGCGCAGGCGCATCTCGAGCGCCAAGGAGGCGCCCAGGGTCCCTCCGGAGCTGGGCGCCTTGGCCCCAAGTCGACCGGCGGCTTTGGTTTTCTTCGTGGGGAGAACGGACGCTTTGGACAAGGGCCAGGTTTGGAAGCTGAGGGAAATTCTTGCTACACCTCTTTGAAGGTTTGGAATCTCTGGAAACCTCGACCCTGTAGCCTTTGGAACATTGCCAAGCTTTTGCCCAGCAACATGTTTAACTGTTCGACAGTTACCTGTTACCTGTTCAGTGTTTAGACTTTAACCCCTGGCGGCTTCAAGTGGCATGTTAAATGAGTGGCCCCTCGACCAGCTGTGAGCTGTCCTCGTGCTATGCCGCTAAATCCAAGTTGCCTCACCGGCGTTGCGCGGCCCGCATGAATCAGCTGCCAAACAGTGTTCTGTTCTGAGCCTCCTAATTTCCTTCAGCCATTTGTTCAGTACGCCACCTTTTTCCCTTTCAATGTTTTTGTTTTGTTTGTTAAACCAACGTTTGCAAGCCCCAAAAGAGGCATTAGGGAACGGACTCGATTCCTGAACCCATTTCTTTGGTGTCACCCTGGGTATCCCTTTTTGCCAATTTTGGTTTGGAACCAACCCAAAATAGAAATGGCCTCCGTTTTGGTCTTGGCCTTGCGGGTAGCCCGCTCTGCGCCAGGCTTCTCCACGGAGCTGCAGGAGCTGTGCGCGTCGATGCTGGTGAAGGACCCCTCGACGCGGCCCAACTTGAGCGAGCTGCTGCAGGAGCACGAGCTGCTGCGCCTGCGCCTGGGAAGCAGATCATAGCGCATGCGTTCTAGGGGACTTCTCCATTCTTTCCAGGGATCCTTCTTTCAGAAAACTATCAGAACCCCACAGCCGTTTTTGTTTTTGTCTTAGAAGGATGGCTGAAAAGAATGGGGAATCAACCCCTAGATGTGTCTGCTGAATTTTTGCAATAAAGTCCCTGAATTCAGCTTCTGGAGTTTTAGAAAAAAATGCAGCTGTGTCAAACTAGTTGAAACTCTGTGGGTGGTTTCCCGTTGGTTTCTTTCTAAAGCAACTCCCAATAAAAGGATTTGGTCTTAAAGATACAAACCCACATCAAGAAAACAGGTTGCAACCCCCGTAATTGCAAGTTGGGGCTCAAGGGAGCTTTCAGCGATGCCAAGGGAAGCCCCTCTAAAGTGAATCAGTAGCCATGGGGATGGAAAGCCTGGAAGGAATTGCTTAGTATAGAGTATGGTTCCTTGTTCATCCTTGTTGTTTGTTTCGGAAATGATTGTTCCCCCCGGCCAATTTGCGTTGCATGGTCAACAGAGGGTCGAACCATGTCGAACCCAGTTCCAACATTCCGACTCCGTAAAACATGTATTTGGGGTGGGGTATGCTCTCTGAAGTACCATTTGTAGTTCTAGCTTCCCTCTTGTGCGGAAGACTAGGACATTGAGAGCGGGTTGCTCCCTTGACTGTTCCTAAAGGCCGACCAAATCACACGGGTACAAGGGCCAACTAGTTCAAAATAGGTTGCACGGTACTTGAAGGCCAAATTTAGTTGTAGTTTCAAACTATCGATCAGTAATGATGTAGCGCCTCATATGTCATAAGCCTTAGAACAAGAATGAAAGGTTCCCTTTGGCCGGCCTCCCTTTAACACGTACCACTTATCGAAATCCCAAGCCCTTGAAATGCGCCATCCCGCGGAACTGGACTCCTGTTCAACCTTTTGAGAGAGGTGATCCGAAAAGAATCAACATGTGTGCCTCTCGCAAAATTTGACCGCCAGACTGGTTGGGGGGGGTGTGGCGCAGCCCTCCGAAAGAAGCATTGTGATCCTTTGATTACTTGCCGGGAACCGCCCTCAGATCGACATGACACGTGGAAGAGAGTCATGGTAAAACAAGACACTTTGTGGTCGGGGGGTGGTAAGTTGAGCCCACCATGAGGCCTTGAAGGCTTCATTTTCGTGGCTGAGCCCCCTGAAAGAGAAGATATTTCGACGGCGGATCGTTGCGAGCCTTGCGCAAAATGGCAACTGTTGCAGCCCGAGGATCGGCTTCGAGACCCAAGGACCTGTACTTTGTAACCATAGTTGTCTGGGAAACACCAAGGCTGCCAACACCAGCGTTTGGGTTGTCGAGTAAAGCACATCACTGGTTGAGGTACAACCGCTGAACCTTACAACCACTCATAAACCACCAAGCCTGATGCTGCTTGTGAAACCAGAATCCAGATTTCAGATGACTGCCCAAATTATATTATGAGGAGCTCACCTGAAAGTCAAGCGAGCTCACTGATGCAGAACCCTTTCTTGACGATTCCTTCCAGTTTAGAATAGTCTGCCCAGATGACAAGTCGGTCATTGGAAGAATTGTCACCTTTCACCACTTCCATTTGGTGAATATGTTTTCCCTGTTGGTTTTAAAGGGAACCTATCACTACTGGATGTCTTTTTATTTGTTCCAAAAGACTTAAGCAAATGGAGGACCAAATCCTTGGGCCGTTGCTTGAGGACGGTGCTGCAGCTGGAAAGGAGCATGGACTGGACAGACTCGCTGGTGGAGAGCCATGGGATGCTTGGCCCTTGCCCTCACAGTCAGCTCAGGGAAGCAAATCATCGAGGTACCCATGAGTGTAAGTGAGGGGGGGTTGGAAGACTATATACTATAATACCAATTTGGCTCTTCCATGATTGTTGGACAAAATGGGTATGTCGCAGGCTGTGAGAATAAAACTCGCAACCTGTTCAGTCCTCCCAACCAGGACAAAGGCTAGCGGCTAGCACCAACTTGACAACATGAACCATGGGGGTCCCCATATCTCGCCTCTCACCACCTTTTGCTTGTGCTGGACACCACCTTCGCAGCTTGAAAGAATGTTGGAGACATGAATAGAAGGGAAATACGCTCTGTCTTTAGAGCTTTCCCCATCATCCCTTAATATAAGAGAAACCCGAAGTAGTTTATTTGTTTTGGAAGCCCTCCATTTGCTATCGGGATATGGCTGTGGCTCAAAATTAAACAGGAGGGGTTACGCAGGTTTTGGTCCATGTTTCCACTTACCAGGGTTCCATTTTGGTATCGGTTTTTTGAGCCAACCCATATGGAGCCCTGCGATTTAGACTGAGGAAGGACTGGGCTGTGCCCTCGGAGGCACAGGAGAAGTTGAGGGAGGTCTTTGCCAAGTACAGCAAGGAGGGGCTCTTGAGCAGGCCTGGTCGAAATTAACTTTGCTTGAAGCATCTAGTTGCTTGTCCCTTTGTTTGGTTGTATGTGTGTTTGTGTTGTTTTTGTTGTTTGCTGTTTGTTTGTTGGTTTGTTTGTTTGCTTGCTTGCTTGCTTGCTTGCTTGCTTGTTTGTTTGCTTGTTTGTTTGTTTGTTTGTTGGTTGATTTTGGGTCATTGCCCGGTTTCCGGATCCACTCATCCTGGACTTCACTGCTCCTATCCTATGTCCTTTACGTGTCCAACTCGGTTGAGTTTGAGCGGTGAGGCGTGAGCTCACGAATCTGCTGCAGCGGCTGCACCCGAAGTGGGCCTCGGGGGTGGCAGCGCTGCTGCTGAAGGCTGCGGACGCCAACGGGGACGAGACCTTGGACTGCGAGGCTGATTGGTGGGTGGGTGGGCTGGTTGGTTGGTGGGTGGTTGGTGGGTGGTTGGTTGATGGGCTGGTTGGCTGGTTGGCTGATTGCTTGGCTGGCTGGTTAGTTGGCTGGTTGCTTGGTTGGTTGGGAAAGCCCAAGCAAGCAGGCCTTTTGACCACATATGCTCAAGGTGTAGTGTCCCGCCAAAGCAACGAAAATGGTGAAGGTCTTTGGTGACTTGACAGCATTTCGCTGGGCGTCAAACAATGCTTGACAGACCGGTGTGACCGCATGCGCTGGCTGTTCTTTACGTGAAAGGAGGAGAGTACACCGGGCGTTCCTTCTCGTAGCCGTGTATCAGCTCCATATCTCCAAACTCCCATGCCAGACAAATGGAGGCCGCGCCCGGCTTTCCTCCGTTCAAAGAGCTGTCGGGGCGAAACTGGAGGTTTGGCTTCAGGGAAAAGCGAGCCCTGGAGATTCCACACTTGCCCACAGCAGATCGACCTTTTGTGGTTTCCTTGTTTTGATCTACTTTTTGTCGAGGTCCCATGAAGTTCTTCATTGATTTCCTGATCAGTGACATTGCAGCCTTTGGTCCATGGCCTTTATGGGAAACCCAAGCCTTTCTTCCCCCCAAGGGACCCCCAGCAATGCCTTTTGCAAGGCCTTAGCACGGCCTTAGTAAGAGCTTAGCGAGACCATGGTAAGGCCGTAGACCCGAATCACGCTTGTTTTGGGGAACAGCCCCCTACATTTTGACCAAGGAGATTCCAGAAGTCTGGAAGTATCCAGGGTTCAAGCCATGACTTCGCCTTTGCAAGGAGTTCTTGAAGTGGCTCTTCGGAGGGGAGAAGGAGTGGGATCCTATCAAGCAGGCGATCGCGCTTCGGGGAAGGTGATGTACATTGGGTCTTTTTCCTCATAGGCGAACTCGGGGAGGACTAACTAATTAAACCTTGAAATAAGGCCATATGTTGGGCATATGTTGGGCATATATGGGCTCAACTCGGCCCCCCAATAGACATGATGTTGGAGACCAGGTCCTGAGTCCTAAGATGGTTCCGGCACCTCTGAGGGTTTGGACATGGGAAACGGCGCGGATTCCGAAGCCAGGTAGCTTTGCTTTGGCGATGTGTGGGAGGAAGAAGCCTCTCACCCGGACGGTCCTGTGAACATAATGAAGTCTCCATATATTGGTCTGGAGAAGGAACCAAGTCCAGGGCTTCCCAGGAAAGGAATCACCAAGATAAAGGGACCCTGCATAAAGAACTCTGCCAGGGAACCTGTCGATTTCCAAGGGTGCTCAAAATTAGCTTGCCAGTAGTCTATGGATCATTTGGGAAGGACACGGGGGATTCATGAAATGTCAGCTTGGTAGAAAGAGGGGTGTCCGTGTTTCGAACCGGCTATCGCTTGAGTCTGAGCGTCTCCAAAACAAACTCATGCCTGTATTTTATATTTGCCAGTGCCTTGATCGCATTGCACAATTTCTTTCTTGATTGAGTCTGCTGGATGCAAGCCTGCTCCTTCACAATGCATGAGAAATTGCGGATCGAGCGCAGCGTTGCAACATGGCGTGTGTTAGCTTGATTAGTGGCAAGGAGGTGATGACAGCGACGCAGTTCTGCGTGTGGTGGGACGAGCTAGGGACACATGAAACCAATGGGTGCTTTGTTTGATGCCCTGCGACGCCACTTGGCGTTACAAAATTTCAGGCAGCTTGCGTTGGTCAGCGGCCTGGGCTATTTAGGGCCTGAGAGTCTGTGAGAGGAGACTGAGTGACTGACGGCAGGTGTACGGCCATACGCCACCGCAACCGGGGATTTGCTGCAAGCGGCCGAAAGTGGCAACGCACTTGTTGTGGTAGAGCTATGGAGAAGCGTCACGATCCCAATGCCGCTGGAAGGATGGCCTGTTGACACCAATGCATGTTGCTTCTGAATGCCGCAATCTGGAATTGGTGCGGTGCCCGCTGGAGGTGGGTGCTGGCAAGGACAAGGCAGACAGCCATGGCAGTACACGGCAGTACACGGCAGAACACCACTGCACGCCGCTTCTGCATTTGGCCATCTGGAAATTGTGCGGTGATTGCTGGAGGTGGGTGCTGACAAGCAAAGGAAAAGCCAGAGAGCCAAAGGAAGTGTATGCGAGCACTATTAAGCCAGTAGCATGTTTGCTGGCAATGTGTGTGTGTGTGTGTGTCTTTTTTGAGGGCAGCCCCTTTGGGCGGTTTCAACGGGAGACCAACAACAACGCTCCTTTTGGGAGTTTGCTCCTTCTGAGATAGTGAGTGATTACTGGCCAGAATGCAAATCGGACGGGGTGGCTACACAGTTTTGCTGCCAGAGTCCATTGGCTGCCCAGATTTCCCATGGAATGGAAGAGCGAGCGCTGGAGTGGAATTTGGGTGCTTTACAAAAGGAAAGGGTCCCCCTTCAGCTCTCAGATGCCAAACGTTTGTGTTGTGGATTGTCTTACAACATGGAGGTTCTAACCAGACTACCCAAAATGGCACTTCCTTTTTTCAGGTCCTTCTACCGTGCCCTTTGACTCTCCCGCGCACAAAAACCAGGGGGCTCTTGAAATGTCCCATGTCCTCATCGAGGAACATGCATGTAATTTTGACTGTGACTCAAATTTGAACTAAATGAGAGCTATCCCTCTCGCAACCCTCCAACACAAATCAGAGATGAGCAACTGCAAAAAACATGGGCGGCCATTTGAGCAACCGAACAGCCACGCCACAACACCCCAACGCACAGCGACGACCCGAACCCACCGAAGACCACCGCAGGCGTTGGTCCAGTCCACGGAGGAACCCGAGCCGCGGGTGGAGAAGCCCGAAAGCTTCACCGAGATGGCCTCAGAGGCCGGTTGGGAGAGGTTTTGTTTTGGTGCTGTCGTGTTTCTTCCTTGTGTGTGTGTGTGTTTTTTGGTGTTTTCTTTTTTGCGAGGGGAGTGGTTGGAGGGCATCAATCTTGATTGATCCTATTCAGAGGCGTGATCGTTGGGAGAGACATGGTTGGGCGCCCGTACCAAGTTTGCTGAGATTGATCCTTGGCATTAGATGTTCATTGGGGTTGTTCAGCGCAAACAAGGCACTAACTTTTCCTACCATCACCGGACAACATGGGGAACCAGATCAGAGCGTAGACCTGTTTTGGGGGTCCATGATTTGGTGGAAGGGTGCCCGCTTTGGATAACTTGGGGGTTGTGTTCAAGGTTTTGCCTTTTAGCCACGGTGAAGAGGGGGGTTGCGTTTGGCTTCCTCCTGCCGCATCTTCCTTCACAGCTCCTAGACAAATTCCATTTTAAGGGCTGCCTTGGATTATGTGTTTTCCAGTCGACAATGTCAGCGGGACATAAGCCATTTAGAGGGCTTCCTTTGATTACAACACCTGCACAGCCCAAACCTGGGTGATTGAAGCAAATGAAAAGATAAACACAAAAAGACAAAGAACCCACCATCTCACACCTCTTCATCCCTTCCCACCTATCCACTTCCAAGCCTATCAATCATCAACAGTGGATAGGGAAGGGAGGAAGTGTGTGTCATCTCTCTATTTCCTGTGTGTTTGCTGGAATGAAGATATGAATCCATCAAACACAGACAGGAGAGAGATGTGGATGAATGCAGCGCTTGGACTGGTCTCTAAGCCGGAAGGTAACTCAAGACATCTTAACTCAGCCCCAGATGCAACCATTATATTGGTGAGGGCTGAGGAGAGAGGTCGTGGGTTCCTGAGTTATCTTCCTTCCGCTGCATCCAAGCATTCTATTTCCCACGGCCACATATTCACTCCTTCCTACGACCTCGCTCATCTCTGTCTCTAGGAGTTAATCTGTTGGGTCACAATGGTAACAGCCAGGATGGGATAATGAAAGACAGGAATTAGACCAGAATGAAGCTGTGGACATGAAGACCAACAGAGAAGCGACCCATTATCCCATTCTTCCTTGTCCTTCCGTCCAATCCAGAATGTAACCAAAATGAACGACTTTAGGATGTGAATGAAGGTGACATGAGGAAGAGGAAGGTAATGGCTGACAAGAAATCCATCCTTCATTCACCCACCTGTCAGCTCTTGGAATCGCATGCCAGGTAAACGAACGAAGAGAGAGGTGGCATGTGGGAGAGAGCGGAGGAAGGTGGGTTAGGGATGGGATTCACTCGCTGTCAGGCCACTCTTTCCTTATCCTTCCCTACGCTTCCTCTCTTTCCGGCTCCTCTGTCTCGCCTGGAATCGACGGAAGGGAGATGAAGGAAGAGGAACAGGAAAGAGTGAGGAAGGAGAATGGGGTGAGTGGTAAAGAGATGTCCCTCACCCATCCATTCCCTTCCTGTCATTCCCATCATCTCTTTTCCTTCGGTCACTTTGTTCACGGGAATTAGAGATGACACGTGACAAAGAGAAAAGAAGGAATGGGCTCTCTCTTCACAATGTGTGCTCACCCGTTGACAAGTTAGGTCGCGAGCGAAGGCAGCGGGGAAATGGGTGAGTGATGAAGAGAGAGAGTGGATCTGTGGTCAAGTCCTTCCAAGATACACGGTGTAACTACAATATGAATCCAGCCACTTTATTCTTGGCGGTTGATGATGAAAGAAGAGACCGCGGGAAGTGGCGGGACATGAGTGAGAGCTAATATGTCCCTTCTTCCCTTTCTCCTCTGTGTCTTATCTTTGTGTGTTCGCTGTTTCCAAGAGATGCAGTGCATTGAAGATTAGACAGATGACAGCTATTTTCAGGATTTAATGGCTTACAATTGTCCGCGAAGGAATGGACGGAGGGATTGACTGAGTGAGGAGATGGTGAGGTTATGAGGACTAACAGCTATTTTCATGATTGAATGGTTTACAATTGTCCACGAAGGAATGGACGGAGGGAATGAGTGAGTGAGGAGATGGTGAGGTCATCAGGACTAACAGATGACAGCTATTTTCAGGATTTAATGGTTTCTTCATAATATTTTTACCTGAGATTTAATGGTTAGACGGTTGAATTTCCAAGGTGAACGGATATGAATGAAGATACTAAAATGATAATAAATCTATAAAATAAATAAACTGTATTAAATTAATGTAATGCTTATAGGTTAGGGGACTGACAACCAGAAGTGCAGCCGCTCTTTTGATTCTTTCCGTGGCTGACAATTATCCCTGGGAGGTACTCTTCCGATTGTCATTTGGATGATAGTGGACAATTTTAGCCGGTGTTGGAGTAACTTTGGGGCTCAAACTTGATTTTGGCTTCCTTCTGGGATCGTTCCAATCTGTCAAACGGACGACCCTCCTGATTCAGATACAATGGCAGCAAGGTGAGCCTGTCGCTTCCAGCTGATCAGCTGAACCGCCGAGTGGCTGCGAGGACCCGCCAAAGGATGTTCCTCAAAAAGATGATCGCTGAGTTTCATATTAATCCACAGGAGATTTGTCAAATAGGATCCTCCGCCCTTTGGATCCTCTTAAGACGTAGGGTCACTTTGAAGCCAGCGTCCATATCGGGCCCATATGTTCAAGACCAATTGAGTGCCGGCAAGTAAATATGATATCCGGCCCTCAAGGGGTGCAAGGGGTATTCGACCACCTGGGAAGTGAGCTTCTAGGGGCCAATGTCAATCAGACTCAGCATTTGGACCGCATTTGAAGTCAGTTTGCAGTTGGTTGGGTGATGTCCAAATGGTCACCACGCGACCAACCTGAGGATGTGCACCTTGGGACGCGCCCCAACCCTTGCATTATTGCTTCAAGCTGGGTCGGGGTACAATTATATTACATAAGGTTTAATGACATTATAGGGTACCGGGGTATATTGGATGTATACACATATATATATATATATGTGCGATTATAAATTATATACATACACAGTAATATCTGGCACAGCCTCAACTCGGCAGGCACGGGTGCGCCTGCTCAAGTCCGAAGGCAAGGAGCTGTCCTTGCAGGAGGCCGAAGCCAAATCCGCATCGAGCCATGCGGTTCTCGCAAGGTTACAATGATCAAAGTCACCCCTAAGTGGTGGGTTAAAGGGGAACCAACCCAATTTTCTGACTTTGAACCCACAGAAACCGTCAACATAATGACCCCAGTATACCCGAGGGTCCCTTTGGCCAGTTGGCCAGTTGTGACACCTAGCCGTATGGCTTCTGTCCTTGGGGAGCCTGGTTGGACATCAACACATTGTAAACGATGTCCACCAAAGGGTCTCGAATTGTAATGCACATCCAGTTGGGAAAGGAACCTCTTTTTGGATGGAGTTTAAGGGAAACCTCTTGGGCTGCTTTAATTTGAGGGGAGGTGAAAGGGGAACTCGTGGCGAGTTCCCCACGTCCAGCCAGCGAATTTCCCCATGTCCAGAAGGGTAGGGGTGCCTACATTCAAGAGAGTCTCAAATAGGCAAAATCAGCAGCGCACTCTTTCGGATCGGCGGTGTCTCCGGTAGGGTGGCTCACTTATTTCTGTTGTCAAAGTTGGGGAACCTTCCCAAGGGTGGGACCCCTTCAGCTTCCCACCACAGAACCGGTCTCAACAGAAACGACAGCCCTTGTCAGGCCGCGGGGATGAAGGAGCTGCACGAGCTGCTGAAGTCTCACAAGGAGCTGCAGGACGTGCTGTGCCCTGGCGAACCATGTTCTCGAGCTCGTACTCGAGGGAGTGTTCAAGCATACCCGTTTCCCCTAGAAAAAGCGAAAGGAGCACATATGCAACACAGTTTTGGGGTTCCACCTATTTTCACAGATAAGCAGCGTTTGAAACCTCCAACGTCAATGGATGCGTACCAGGCCCAGAAGCCTTTCCCGGCTTCCCTTTGCGAGTAAAAGAGCCAGAATGTGTGGGAGGGGAGCCATGATTTTCTGAGTGACGGATGGGTTGTCAAAGCTTACTCCTATAATCCAAGCTCTGACTCTCTTTTGGGAGCCCTAGAGGGATCACTCACTTGGGTCAAAAACGTGACACGTTGAGTTTGTCGTGGACTTTGAGGACAGGACGCGGCGCCCACTGACCCTTGCAGGATGGTCTCAGTTTGCTTCCTTCAGATCGTTGGACCAATTCAAGTGAGCTTCGATGAAGCGCAGGTGATGTATTTGGGAACTAGAGGAAGTCCCAGCTACCCCAAGTTCCCACATTTCAGGTCCAAGTTCCGGATGGGTTTGGGTAGAGGGGTCTTGGGGTATGCTAAACCACCACAAAGGCTGGAAACTTCCCAAGGTGTTCTAAAACAACCACGTGGTTCAGCTGGTGTCCTTTTTCACGGCTAAGAGGAATCTCAATCCCCGGGGTGAAAAATGATGATTGCCACACCCACGGGGAGGTTAGACAAGAAGAGATGCCAGGAACCCTGCAGCCCCAAGCAACCCAGCGATCAACCCGTTAGTGCAGATGTTTCCTGCAATCATTTTGCCCGCTTTCAGTGGAACAGGAGTCAAATCCTGGAGTGACAACTTTGGTGACGAGCGGGGCCTTAGGGGAGGTGTTCATTGGCCCAATGATTGATCCCTGCCTTCTGTGAAAGGCTTAGAGCGTCCGAAGTTGGGCATGCTATTCTTGCACGTGAGCCCTTCGCCGGGTTTGCAGCGAGTCCCAATCTGTTGTCCACCCATGTTTATGGATTTCGCTTGAAAAACCAAGCAGAGTCACCATTGGTCAATGGCGGATTGTGGCAAAATAGCGAACCTACCCAAATGGGTGGTGTCTCTTTGGTTTCCCTTTTTTGAACGACCCCCACAAAGAGGGGGGAACCCTGAACCAAACAGATCTCAGGTATTTCCAAGGGTGCCCTGTTTGGAGCTGCTGAGGAAACAACAGAGGTACTCCAAGATTACCATGATGGAGCTTCACCAAAATCCAATGTCAGGGAGCACAATCAAGACAACTGCGGCCCCTAGGTTCGGTCAAATACCAAGTTTCCCTTTCGAGGAGCCGCGCAACTTCACCGCATATGGCATTGGCTTCTAAGGAAGCGCTTCCCCGTGGATCCGGTCTCCTCAGCCATGTCGATACTAGACTTCTCCTCGTGGTTCCCTGGCGAAGGGCCTGGAGGGGGGAATGGGTTTGTTTGCTTTTTGTCAGGCTGTCTGTCTTCCTTTCTTCCTGCCTGTTTGCTCGTCTGGTTGTTTGCTTGGTATTTTGTCGGTCTGCCTGTCTGTCTGGCTGCTTGTTTGCTTGCTTGCTTGTGTTTGTATTGGCCCTGTGTTTGGGTTCGTCTGAAAATTAGGCTTCTTTTTGAACACGAAGGGGAAAAGGCTGGGTTAAAGGCCAGACATAGCAATGGTATGTCTCAAACGCGGGGCAGCCCAAAGTTCCTTTTGGCTTCATGTTGTGTAGAAGAAAAGTACCTTGAAATTGTGGGGTGGGGTTGGTTGGGGTGGTTTGGGGTGGGAAGGACAGTGCGGGGTGGGGGCGGGTGGGTGGGTGGGTGGGTGAAGTAGGTCTGTGGAGTAGTGGGTGGAGTAGGTGGGTGGGTGGGGTAGGTTTGTCTCTTTCTGTGTTTCTGGTCTTTGTTTATTTCTTGATTTATTTTGTTTGTTCTTTATTCTTGACGAGTTCTGTGTTTCCTTCTTCATGATTTGTGTTTTGCATGTGTTTTAAATGTATTTATTTCTTTCTGTATGTCCTTTTTGTTAAACAAAAACTGTGTTGTGTCGGTCTTTAATGTGTTTCTTTGTTTGTTTATGTCTTAATGTTATTCGGTGTTTCTTTCTTTATGTATTTACTTATTTCTTCATGTGTTTGTGTCCTTTATTTATTGCTTCCTTTTTTATTGATTTAATTAATTTGTTTTGTCTTTCTTGTTTTTTTTTTTTTTTTTTTTTTTTTTTTTTTTAAATGTTTATTGATTATTGTTATTTTCTTTCTTTCTGTCTTTCTTTCTGTCTTTCTTGTTTTGCCTAAGTTGTTTGTGTGTTTCCTTATTGATTCATCCCTTCATTTATTATGTATTGTGTGTGCTTCTTTCATCATTTCATAAGTTTGATGGTTGTCTTTTGTGTATTTCATTATTTCTTGCTGTTGCTGTTTGTTATTTTTATTCTCGCTCTCTCGCTCTCTCGCTCTCGCTCTCTCTCATTTTCCCTATCTATACTTGTTTTTATTTTTCTTCCTGCAGGTTCCTTGTTTAGTTGCTTGGCACTGTCGTTTCTTTCTCCAAGAAGCTCGGCTTGTTTTGCACTCCAAAATCATTCGGGCAAGCGCGCAAACAGGCAACCCTGTGTGCCAGCCAGTTGGTTCCATCGCCTGCCGACAGCATTGCAGGGGAGCCAGTCCACGCCGCACTTGGCTCTTTCTTTCGGAGTCATTGCTTCCCCACATTCCTGGCCAGAGCGTTTGTTAGCTTGTTTAACGACTGCGCGTGCCATACATGTGCAACTGTTCGCCACCCAGCAGGACCAAGCAGCCAGCCTGCGAACCACAACCAACCAACCAACCGAAACAAACAAACAAACAAACAAACAAACAATCAAAGAATCAAACAAAAACAATCAAACAAGCAAGCAAGCAAACAAACAAACAAACAAGCACAAACCACACACATGACAAGCATAGGCACACATAAAACAGGCAGAGCAAGCTGAACAGGCACGGTGTTGCTTGCCCTGCTTCGATGTTCAGCCAACTTTGTAAGTAGGTTATAGCCTTATAGCCATGGTTTTGAGCTGGGTCTGGGGCTAGTGCCCTCCTGACTCCGGTTAGAACCTACTGACTCGAACACCCAAGAATCCGTTTCGTTCCAGGTCAGTCGCCCGCTTGAAGGACTTCATCCACGCGGAGGGCGGCTCTGCGGCCGGCGCCACTGAAAAGCGGCTTTGGCTTTGACTGGGCTCGCTATGTGGGTCTTTGTTTCCAAGGATGTTCTGTTTGCGGTTCGAAGGAGAAACCAAAGGCAAATCAAAATGTTGGGGGCCCACCATGAAGGAGATAACAGGGCACCAAGAACAAAGACATGTTTGCCAGTGTTCAATGGGTTCGCGTGAATCAATAAATGAAAAGGTGGGGAGGGGGTTCCCCTTTGGCACGTTTGCATCACTCACAAGGATTCACAGAAGGATGATCTGCAAATGACCTGAAACTGGTGAACAAATGCAACTGTTGCAAATGTTGCGGCCACCGGAAAGGAGACCCAAAGCAACACACTGAATACCAAAGCAACTCCAACCAAAACGGCAAACGCAAGATGCAACAAAAGACACTCCAACCAAGCTGCAGCCAAGGTGCCAAACAAAGTGTAAACAAGCTCCAAGTTGAACAGGTACAACACAAAAAGCAGCTCATGCACAAGGGAACACACGGTTCAATGCATTGAACCAGACTGGGACCTGCGCAGAGCAGTCCTCCAAAGCTGCAAATCATCCAGCCAAGCTTCAGCGAACTCGTCAACTCTCAAAGCTCCGGAAGAAAATCAATTAGGACCGCCGAACAAAGTTCACCCGAAACGCAGACCCCAAAACAGGACCCTCCCAATTTGCTTTAGACAAAGAACCGTTTGACAGCCTCAAAATTTTGCTGGGGACTACAATTTCCTATTTGCCCTGAACCTGACAATTTGCATGGTTTCGTGAGAGACTTCAACCTTGCGATTTGTGTGTCCCAAGGCAGGAACTGGTGGACCTTTGCAGCCAGCTCTTCCAAGCAACTTTGGAGGACGAACATGTTGGAAAGATCCCGGGAATGTCCGGCAGAGTCTGGGGGCGGAAGTTTCAATCATAGAAGAACCATGGTTTGGAGCACACGTCGTTCCCTTTTTCCTCTCTCTCGCTCTCTCTTTCTCTCTTTGTTCCCTCGCTCTTTCTCTCTGTTCCTGTCTCGTTTTCCTCCTGTTTCTCTTCCTCGTTGTCTTACTCTTTCCCTTTTAAGTTTGTTTATTGTCTCTTTCTCTTTCTTGTTCTGTCTGTCTCTCTCTCTCTCTTTCTCTCTGCCCCCTCCCTCTTCCTTTTCCTCATTCTCTTTTTCCTCTTTATCTGTCTCTTTCCTCTTTTTCTGTCTCTTTCTTTCTCTCTTTCGTCTTTGGTCTTTCGTCCTTCTCTTTCTCTGCTATGTTTGTTTGCTTCTCTCTCTCTCTCTCTCTCTCTCTCCAGCCCACGACCCACGAAGGTGAAACACTCAGAAACCCACCAGTCTTTTAGGGTCGACCCACTGAAAGTCCGCAAAGGCTTTCACCTTTTGACGGTTCTGGAAGCTGCAAAAAAAGCAAGCCCAAAGTGCACGAGGGTTCCGACCGAAGGCTGCGAAGCAGTGCACACTGCCGTGCCAATTGGCCCGTCTCCAAGCCCGCTCCGCACTCGCTCCGAGCCCGCCTCCGTCAGTTGTTGCGAACGAGGTAGTTTGCGCACTTGCGGAAGAGCCGAACTCATGCACAGGGCCACGCTTTCAGCCCGCTTCTACAGCTTTTTGCAGGTTTGTCACTTGCATTTGCATGTAGTCTTAAAGATCACACGCAGGCGCATGCATCTTAGAGAGAGCGAGAGAGACATAGCTCAATTAGTTCCAGTACTACGGAAGTTTTGGTTAGAATGTGGCAAGACTCAATATTCCAAGTACAGCCCGGCATCAACTTGTCTGTTGCTCCAGGTCTGGTGAAAGTATACAGTCCCCCCGCCGTCCCGAAAAGAAAACAAACACAAGAAAGAGACACGTGCATGGGTTCCCCTGGTACCATCCAGGAAACGCTGCCGGACTTGACTAACCTTTTGCTCTTTGGGTTTTCCTTCAGTTTCACCGTAATTTTGTCAACCCACAAACAGGCAGCGACCGCAAAGCTCGACACTGGGTTTTCCTTATACCATCTTTCCTATTTCAGAAGTCTAAGCCTCACCACCGGAGGACGAGGCTCCAGACGGTGACGCATCCACAGAGGCGGAGGCCAAAGGGTCGCCGGAGGAGCGGGAGCAGGCGATGTGCATCGATGCGCGGCTTCGGTGCATCCGGCTGCTGCAGGATCAGGCCCGGTTTTGACTGGAATCCTAGTTAGTTTCTCAGAGAATTCAGGAGGCCCCTGCCTGGCAACGGTTTCCTTTTGGTTTCCCTTTGAAGCCAGCCACAACTTTTGGGCTCCCCAAGACTCAAACACATTTCTCATGTTCGGGCCAAAAACCGGTGTAACGAGGACCCTGGCGCCCTTCAGAGGGAAACCAACAGGCTGTTTAACGACGGGTGTGTAAACATGTTCAAACAAAGGCTCGGCCCCAGGCCAGTTTGTTTCAAGCCCCTGTGTTTCGCAGGTCCACCCAGTGTTTTCTTTTTTTGCTTGTTGGGCGGGTTTATTTAAGAGTTGATGAGTCGTATATGTGTCCACCCGCTTGTATGAGCCAGATCGCAGAACCGTACATGGTTTTCACAACATGCCTTTTGTTTCATCATATCAAAGTCCTCTTGGTGTTGTCATAACAGCTAGGCCATCAGCATCCTGAGCACCTCCCCGTGCATGTTGGTTTTGTTCAACCACAGCAGACCCAGGCCTCGGCCAGTCGCAAGCCGCACCCCCCTTCTCCCCACCCTCGGCCAAGAAAGCTACCAACCCCAAAGCACGTTCACGCACCAACAAAATGGATGTTGGCGCACCTTGCATTTCCTGGGCTTTGGCATTGGCGAACATCCCAAAAGGTCCCAGATTTCGCCAACCGTTATGGGGTATCAACCAAATGGGAAAATAATTCCCCCCCTTCCTTGGATGGTGACTAGAAGGAAAACCAGAAGGACGCCAGAAGACTTCCCATGTTGGGGACAGTTTCCTTTGGTGGCGGTGTTGGCTAACATGGGGGCAACCATATTCTTGGCTACCACTGAAAGGCCATGCTCGGTGTCCTTTAGAAACAGCCATTTGGCTCTCCCGAAGCACCAGAATCAAAGGCTCTTGAAGGCCTTACGAAAGGGAGTTGGTCGCATCGATGATGAGCTTGCTTTGCATAGACAAAAGAATGGACCCCGCCCCAGAGAGGTTCTCCGAACCCGTAAATCAGCATCCCTTTCAAGAAGCTTCCTGCCGAACCTTTCATCGGGGAGCCTTTGGTTTCCCTCCAGTTCGCAAAAGGCTGGACCCAGTCATTTTGAGTTGCTTGCAAGTACAGCAACCTCAGAACATGGTAAGATGGTTCTTCCCATCGTTGCCTTGGAATTGTACACGGCCGGACTCAGCTGACCTGGTTTCCCTTTTCGGATCGCCTTAGCTTTATTCATTGTTCAGATCCAACCAACAAAGAGTTGGGGTGCATGGCCAGTCAAAAAGGATACTTCAGGCAAGGGCGTCCTTTCCCTTCAACCAGCAAACACGATGACAACCAACCACATCCACAACAGCCAGGGAGAACCCCAGGACCCCATTGCCACCCCTCTTAAACATGAGTTGTAGATCCTGCAATTGTCACGGATTCCACCGGGTGCTAAATAGACGATCATCATGTGGTAATTTTCCCAAATGCCAAACGGGGAAACTAGACAGTGTCGAGTCTTATTTTGGCCAGGCGCCCTACCAGGCCCCCAATATTTCGCCCCCTGCCGTCGCGTGGAGCGAGGGGGACCCGGACCCGGTGGAGCTCGCGGTGGCGGTGCGCCAGGCGCGGAAGCTGCTGAAGGAGGAGGGAGCGCAGCTCCGCGAGCCCGTTTGGGGCTCGAAAAATTGGTTGGGGGGTTTGAGGGGTTTTGGGGGTTGATGGGCTCGAGAAGGTTGGGGGTTCGCGGAAGTTGGGGGGGATTTGAGGGGTTTTGGGCATGCTTGCTAGCGCTATGGGTGATTTTGTGCTGTGGTTGCTGGGTGTTTGTTCAAACGTGCAGAATTCTTTTGGGACGGATTTCATTTCTATTTTGTGCGCCTTGCATCAGGGGTCCCAAAAGCAGAGCTGTCCTTTTCACGTGTGGCAAGCTTGGGTGTGGGACCCAAAGCAAAGAAGAAACCCAGGGTTTTGTGTGGACTGACGTCAGCCAAAACGCTATAACTTGAATTAGTCGTCCAAGCTACGTCTGTAACAAGACAACTAAAGCTAGTGCATTGCTCGGGCCGGGCAGATATTCGGGGCCCAGAAGCCGAAGCCCAGTTCTCTGTCGCCAAATCTTTCAAAGAGTTAGAGAACATCCACTCCAAAAAATGCTCAAGGCATCCACTCCGTCCCGAGCACTCGAGATTTATGCACACTTGTCTGCACGTATTTGGGATCATTGATGGAGTGCATGATACGGGACCTCCGGACCTTTGTGGCCATTGATGTCTCAGTGTGTGTTGTTTTCTCTTTGGACTAGTACCGCTGTGGGTATCATGTGGCCTCGTAAAGCACCAAGGGTGCAATTTCATTTGCATTTGGGTAGCAAATGGTCAGCATTCCATTTGGGGCCATTTGCTACACAAACTATTGGTTTGCAATGACCGTGTTCACGACCCATTGGGATGAACAAATCATCCTCGTTTCCGCGAGGCAAGGGTACTCTTTGGTAGCCGAATTTGTTTTTTTTCTTCTTCTCCAATTTACAACAAAACAAATAGTTTGACTTGATCAGTTGGCTCCCGTCAGGACTCCAGTTGGTGAACATACTGTGTCACCTTGTTCCCGGTCTTCCAGCTCAACACTGATCTTGCCATTTGGCGACCAAGTGCACAGCGGAATATCCCTCAAGCGAATGAACGTTTGTCAAACGAGCTCGGGATCCCTTTGTTAGTATCAATGGTTTGTTGTCATGTTGGATTCAATCTACAGGTTCCAAATCATTGAAAGCCGTACCCGACACAGGAGCCCTGCGAAACGGCCATTGTGAGCCACTCCCAGCGTCTGGGCATGCGTGCGGAGGACGCATTGGGGGGGGGGGGGGGTTGGGTGGGATGGGAGAGGGGAAGGCAACTCGCAAACATGTTCGGTGTGTTTGTTGCGGTTGTTTTGCTTTTCCAGGGGAACCTCCGTTTTGGTTACAGTTTTGCAGGGAAAACCAAAGGACACCATCCGTTTGAGGGGTTTACAACATGTAAGATACTCGTGTTTGTTTTTCAACGCAGATAAATATCATTGATTTTGAAGTGAACCACGCAGAAGTAGATCGCTTGCCCAAGGCAACAGGGAGGTGAGGATCCTGCAAGCTCAGATTCTCGGGTCTGGGGCCGCAGTTGTACAGCTTGCTTCAAAGACGAAGCACCAAAAGAAGAAGCAGAAGCACCAAACGAAGCAGAAGACTCAAAGACCCCACCCGCCCTTGAGCCTCGGAATCCTCGCAGCTTGTCAGAGCTCCAAGAGGTGTTTCTGGAGTGATTCAGCGAGGTTTGTTCCCTCATACAGCTAAAGTAAATGTGGTTTGGTATCATTCAAAGCACGGGCTTTTGCCGTAAGGAAATTATGTCGTCTTGCAGCGGGGGTCGGTTCACCACACCAGTTTTTTTTGTTTTTTTCTGCGACGGGCAACCACGTTCCGATGGCCTGAAGACACCCAAGCAAGGCGCCCCAAGTGGGCGGCAAACAGGATTAGAATGTCCTATGGACATGGGGGGCTCACAAAATGCTCTCTCAAAACAACAGGGGGCTGACTCAATTTCCCTTGCGTTTTTGAAAACATGAAATTTTGAGCGTTCAGCTCCCGGACGTGAACCGTGGAGGGTGTTGACTTGCTTGCTACTCTGGTTGTTGCGCAGTTGTTTTGACTGCTCTGTGGATCCCTGAAGTGAAACGAGGGAACAAGTGAACTCCACGGTTCTGGCGACGCCGATTTTCGGGAATAGGAGCGAAAAGCCAAGTAGGTCCTTGATCCCATGGATTTATAGTAACGACTGCAGACACTTGGATTTGGCAGTTGCTTGGATTGGTATACTGGGTTCTGGCCCAATTTGGTCCGTCTTAATGGTTGGAAGACCTCACCGGGTAGACAGGAGTTCCTATGTTGATGTGCACCAAAGGTTCCCCAAGCCTTATCTTGTATTGTTTTGCTCAGCCCAAAAGTCTTAACATGCTCCGCAGTGCGTTTGAATCATTTGCCAAGGGTCCACGGTCTTGCTGGACATGCTGATGTGTGTCCTCATGTTTTGGATACCACACACAGACATGCCTGGGACATGCTTTGTCCAACCACGTTGAGGCAGGCAAACGTGAAGCCTCCTGCTTGCCTGCCTCTGAAGCCACAGGAAGGGACCCACCTCAGTACTTCCCTGACTAATGTCATGCAGGCTTACTTTTGAATTTCAAGGTGCATTGCCAAGCTTTCCGAGTCTTGATACGGCGACGTTGCAAGTTGGTCTTTGGAAATCTTCACATTGGGGATCCTTGTATGTTTTCTTTGCCCAAATAAGAGTGGATTGCGGGATTGGTGTCGGGGATACCAAATGGGCTCATTTGTGTTTTAACATGCCCTCTGTCGTTTGAGCTGAGTTTCTCTTGGGTGATTGCCAAAGGGGACCCAAAATCCCCCAACCCCCCCCCCCCCCCAAATCCCCCCAAAACCCCCCCCCAAAAAAAAAACAGCCCCTCCCCCCCCCCCCAAACCCCCCACAAATCTTGCCATACCAGCCCAAACAAGAGCATAAGGCCCCCCACTAGGACCGGTGCTCCCAAGCCACCACGGCCGCAGAGATGGAGCAGGCAGTGGACCTCATGCGGGCCGTGAAGGAGCGAGCTGTTTGCTCCTCTCTTGGCTCCTTTGGAGATGTCAGGAGTCCAGATGACATTTCCTCTTTGGTGGTTTCAATCACCTTTGTTTGGGGCCAGATTGAAGTGAGTTTGCTTTTGGGGCGATTGAAGGGGAAGTATAGGGAACCAGCTGTACCCCTGAGGATCCCGGGCCACCAGATATCCCCTTTGCCGGAAGCAACCTGAGGATCCTGAGGCAAACAATGCATGTATAAAGAATTTGGAGGAACCCAAACAAAGTACCTGCGCTGCTTCCCAAGGATTAGAAGACAGTGAAAGCTCTAGCCGCTACTCCAAATACCGAGTGTCAACCCCTGACGAAATCAGGTATTTACCATGGAAAGCCAAGTTTATCAAAATGTACCCGCAGCAAGTGGGTGTCGTGAGTACGGGGTAGCTGTCGGCTTGTGGGTGTGAACATTCAGGGTTCAACAGGGTTGAGAAAGATGTGTAAATCAACCACAAGCACCACCAAAGGGAAACCCAAAGGAGAGTGCTTGAACTATTGGAGTTTGGATATGCAATGGGTTGACCCAACCCTGTCTCAGCTGCCCGGTTCATGGACGTTGTCCACCCCTTAAGGTGGATCCCATGTTTTATCAGTTGGTGATTGAACATGTTCTACCAAGGTTCCCCACTAAAAACTATTCTTTGTTGCCTCAGAAAGTCAAGAGACCAATTGATTCTGGGTTCAAATTGGCAATTGGCCGAGGTTGAGGAGATGTTCAACCGGGTTCCCCGCACTTCACCTCCCTGTACCCACCAGCACTGCTTGTCTCTATACAAATGGGTTTCGCTTCGGAGGACAGCGAGCCGCCGGGGGCACCTTCCTGCGTGACCTTGGAAGCCCTGCAGCGTGCCTCTGCACGGCTGAGGGGTGCCACGAAGGCGAGCAACGGGGAGGAGGCCATGGGGGCCAACCCATTTCTTCACTGTTCTTGGCAAGTTGTTCGGTGTTTTGGTTTGTTGGCTCTGTTCATTTTTTGTGTGGGGGGGCTGCTAAAAACAAAGCTTTTTGTTACAATACCAAGGGTTGTGAACATGTGTATCAAACAAACAACGAAACGAGCAACTAATGTGTTTGGTCTGGGGTTTTGATCCGGGTTGTGGTTTTGTCGAGGATCAGTACCATTTTAACCTTGATTGAGAAGGATTTTGGGGGGTCCCCCCTACTTTGACACATGCCAATTGTGCAGCGCCAAACCCTGAAATCCAAATACTATATTGTCCAATGCCCTTAAAAGAAACAGGTTGCAAAATCAAAATGGAGCTCTTGGGTGTAGGAAGGCAACCCCCCGTGGAATTTTTAGAAATCCTCTCCGGGAGTCGCTCTATGTTCGGCGGGGTTCTTGCGAGTCTTTTGGTGGCTCCACCCGTTGCCCGAATTGCTCGCTCCCGGCGAGGAGCTCTTGGGTGTGAGGTCCCAGTGTGGGCCCTTCGTGAAGACCTGCTCCTTGTGCCACGGCGAAATTCTGCCGGTCGCTTCGAGTCGTATGCGAAAAGAGCCACAGGGTTTTTGGGCGCGAGTTTTGACACCGGATGTTCATAAAGCCATTTGATACCGAACCCTTTCACCCTTGAAGGAAGTGGGTATTGGATTGCTTTGGCCTCCAAAAGATGAACATACCTAGCCCTGCTCAGAATTTCCATGGAGCGAAAATGGCGGCTTGTTGCGGTTGCAGCCTCAGTGGTGACCCAAGACTTGGGGAGTACAAGAAGCCAAGGAGAGAAAGTCGTTGCCGAACTCACTCACGGCATGAGTTCGCCGGGGAGCAAGCCCCGAGTCACGGAATCCTTTTGGGCCAGGAGAGCAGTTGGCAGCAATGAGCTGGCCATGTTTGCCAAGCGTGCCGTTCACCTTGTGGGTAAACCCACCGACCAAACAGCTTCGGGGAGCAGGATTGGTATCCTGTGAAATTACCCCTGAAATAGAAACCACATTTGTTGGTTTCACTGCAGGAAACTGAAAGGGGTGATTGAAGAGGCGAGATTTCCCAGGAACAAGACAGAAGAAGAGAGACTTTATGTTTGTACAAGTTCCATTGTTTCATATTGTTTCTCTTGGTTGATCAACTGGAATTTCCCGTATAGCGAGAGGCAGCCTCCTGGTTTCCCAACTTTGCGGCTGTGAGCTCTGAGGCCACAGAGCACGACGCTGGCGGAGCTCAAGGCAAAGCTGGCGCTGCTGTGGACGCGGCCGGTGGAGAACCTTCGCTTCTTCGCCAAGGCGCCCGGGCGAGGGGGGCTGCCTTGGGGCGGTTCCCGGTAGGTCTCACGCTCGGAGCTCCTGGACGCTGCACTTTTTGAGAAGAACGTTGAAGTGGCAAATGGACTCATGGACAGCTGCGAACTTTTGCGCCAATCCGCTCAGGAAGTGAGACGATGGGAGGGGTCTTGAAGCCCGGCAATTGGATTTGAAATATGACCCCCAGCAAGACAAAGATATCAAATATGGCTTATTTGACAAAGGGTACCCTCGACTAACTACACAAACTGAGTCCAGGCCACGTTGAAAAAAATGGAGGTAGTTCCCTGGGTCTGAACCTCACTTCTCTTTCTGGACTGAGCTTTTCGGAAAACAAGTTCAGTGGTGCGCAAACCTCTATACGTAACGTAACGTTGAGATGTCTGGACTCTGGACAGAAAGGGTGGGACACGAGGGGGGGATTGGATAAGGGATTGCAGCTGCTTTGGATTATCAAGATATCTATGACTGAGATGCCTCAGAGACATGGCATTTTGGAATGCAACCCAACGGAGATTCTCCCACGAAGATGTCTGAACCAGCCATAGCCATTTTGCCAGTCACAGGCCGCGTGTTGCCTCACCCTAGTGAGTTGCACTGCTGAGGATGCCTTGCTGATGAAGAAGGAAACCCATGTTCCCTGAGGATCCATTTACGGGATCATTTCGGGGCCAAGGTACTCAACAATGGTTCCTTTGGGCACGCGCACAGAAATTGTCTTTGTTCTTGTCATAAGTGATGAATGACCAGTGACCCACATTTGCAAGGATTTTGATAGTTCGAAGTGCTGACTTCGGATCTGGGGGGACCATAAGAGGAATCCGTCAAGTGGAGCTACTCTGCAGGACGGTGCCCCCTTGGAGTCTGAGGACCAGTGGCAGGAGTGCCGCGGGTCGCGGGCAGGGAGGCAATTCAGGGGATCCGCCCGTAACATATCCTTCTGATCAGTGGGCTCTCCAATCAAAATGACAATGCAGGGGCAAAGGGGGCCCGCGCGAGCGACGTGAAGCCGAGAAGCCGAGAAACCAGCGAGAAGCCGAGAAGCCGAGAAGCCAAGAAGCCAAGAAGCCGAGAAGCCGAGAAGCCAGCGACATGCCGAGAAGCCGAGAAGCCGAGAAGCTAGCGACAAGCCGAGAAGCTGAGAAGCTGAGAAGCCGAGAAGCCGAGAAGCCAGCGACAAGCCGAGAAGCCGAGAAGCCGAGAAGCTCAGAAGCCAAAGAGCGGAGCGATCCTGCGTGGCCCAGCAAAACGATTCGAGCTAAACCGGAAACACGATTTGAAACGAAAAGGCGGCTGAAACGACTGGCGTCAGCGATAAGAATGCGATCCGAAGCGAAGAAGTGAGACTGTTTGAGTCGGGAGGGATGGTCGGACACCGACCGGGCTGACTCCAAACGAAATGGCGACGACCTGACGAAAAGGAGCAACAGCTCGAAACGACGAGGAAGCACTGTAAGAGGGGAGGCGGTGATAGGCAAACTTAGAGTAAATGTGGAGTGAGGATCTCTCCGGTGGAGTTGAGTCCACAGGTGTCGGAACCTGCCTGGACTTGGAATGCTGCCGGGGCAGGTGTTGGAAATCGTTTCTGGTTGGTTTAGGCATGGTTTTGGGTCGGTTTAGGGTTGGTTTAGGGTCGGTTTAGGGATGGTTTAGGGTTGGTTTAGGGTTGGTTTAGGGTTGGTTTAGGGTTGGTTTAGAGTTGGTTTTGGGTTGGTTTAGGGTTGGTTTGAGGCTTGGTTCAGAGTCGGTTTAGGGTTGGTTTAGGGTTGGTTTAGGGTTGGTTTAGGGTCGGTTTAGGGTTGGCTTGGGGTTGGCTTAGGGTTGGTTTGAGGGTTGGTTTACGGTTGGTTCAGGGTTGGTTTTGGGTGTCGGCATGGTTTTAGGGGAGGTTTAGGGTAGGGTTGGTTTAGGGTCGGTTTAGGGTTTGTTTTGGGTTGGTTTAGGGTTGGTTTAGGGTCGGTTTAGGGTTTGTTTGAAGTCGGTTTGGGGTCGGTTTAGGGTTGGTTTAGGGTCGGTTTAGGGTTGGTTTAGGGTCGGTTTAGGGTCGGTTTAGAGTTGGTTTAGGGTTGGTTTAGGGTCGGTTTAGGGTTGGTTTAGGGTTGGTTTTGGGTTGGTTTAGGGTTGGTTTGAGGCTTGGTTCAGAGTCGGTTTAGGGTTGGTTTAGGGTCGGTTTAGGGTTGGCTTGGGGTTGGCTTAGGGTTGGTTTGAGGGTTGGTTTAGGGTTGGTTTAGGGTTGGTTTTGGGTGTCGGCATGGTTTTAGGGGAGGTTTAGGGTAGGGTTGTTCGTTTTTGGGTTGGTTTAGGGTTGGTTTAGGGTCGGCTTACTGGCAGACCGAGCCAAGGGGACTGGTCGAGCCGTGCGGAACACGCTCGAGGCGGTGGCGCTTTTTTTTTGGCACTTGCCAACTTGCTGACTGACTGCGCCACAGGCGCTTGACAAAAGCATCCGATGTCTGTCGGGAAACTGGACATTCAAGTGAGCCATGATCGAGACCTGGGCCAGTCCCAGCCATAGACAGGTGTGGTTGTGCGCTCGTTTGTATTCGCTCAAACATAACTCTTACTACTGACCGTTTCCTTTTAGGGCTTCCTGCATGGGGGGGCTACTGCTCTCAACATTGGCGGTCTGATTTTCGCGGGCGCTTGCTTTCGAGCGTTCAAGCCAGCGCGCTCTGTGCCATGTCCTGCGTCTATGAGAACGCGTGGAAGCCTGAGGCCAGAGCATACTTTTTGCGCAAGAGATGCAGTTCTGTTCAACCTGGCAGGGTCCTGTGGACGCTCAGCAGGCCTGTGCAATTTGTGCCTATTGTTTTTGTTTGGCTGCTGCTGCTGCTGCTGTTGCTGCCGCTGCTGTTCCTGTGGCTGTTGCTGCTGCTGCTGCTGTTCCTGTGGCTGTTGCAGGCCTCATCTGACGGCGAGCCGGAACAAGGGCAAGTTCAGGCCAGCTGGGCGATTGGTTGGGACAGCTTGTTTTGGAATATTTTGGCGGCCCTGGAACAGGAGCGCCAGCATGCAGAAGCAGAGCGGAAGGCAGCACCGAGATGGCAACATTTGACCCGAGAGAACCGTGGTGACAATTCCCACGCTCGAGGGAATTCTGGTAAGGTGTGATGTTTGTCAGATCCTCGCGCGTTGCATGCGCACACACGCACACACACACACACACGGACACAAGGACACAGCGTACGCTTACACGCGCACACACACACACACCCACCCACCCACCCCACCCCACCCACCCACGCACGCACGCACGCACGCACGCACGCACGCACGCACGCACGCACGCACGCACGCACGCATGCACGCGTGGGAAGCACACGTGGTATCTTTGCTGATGGTAAATATAACATCTATCCCTGTCTGCTTGCTGACTCAGACCGCCAGGCTTTGGCAGCGATATGTCATGCGCTTGGGATCATCGGCTGAACATGACGCAGTTGACGGACGCGTGCAAGCACGCACTCAGGGAAATAAACGCTAGCTGATGATATATATATATATATTTACACATTAAGTCTGTCTTTGTGTGACAATGATAGAGGCCAAGAATCAAAGGGACTTTGAACAAAGCCCTGGAAACTTGGAGAGCGTTGAGTAAAGCCATTGAAACACAGGAGATGCAGAAGAGGCCACATGCCAACATTTTGCGCTGAGTGTCATGCTAATTTGATACGAGGCCCTGAAAAGAGAGCACGATCTCGAGTGCAAGCTGGCTGCGGAGCGTGAGGCAAGAAGCAAAGGGACTTTCAGAAAAGCCCTTGAAACTTGGAGAGCGTTGAGTGAAGCCGTTGAAACACAGGAGATGCAGAGGGCGGAGCAGCTTCGCCAAGAAGAGGCCACATGCCAACATTTTGCGCTGAGTGTCATGCTAATTTGATACGAGGCCCTGAAAAGAGAGCACGATCTCGAGCGCAAGCTGGCTGCGGAACCTGAGGCCTGGGGCCCATACTCCCAAACCTCAAAACCTCCTTCAAACAACCTCCAGCAATGTGCCATCGACAGGCCTTTGAACGACAGCAAGAAGAGTTTCAGCGAGCAGCGGAGCGCGAGGCCGAAGCAAAGCGCCAAGCAGAGCGCGAGGCTGGCATAGTCTGTCTTTGTCTGACAATGGTAGAGGCCCAGAATCAGAGGGACTTTCAGAAAAGCCCTTAAAACTTGGAGAGCGTTGAGTGAAGCCGTTGAAGCAGAGGAGATGCAGAGGGCGGAGCAGCTTCGCCGAGAAGAGGCCACATGCCAACATTTTGCGCTGAGTGGCGTGCTATTTTGATACCAGGCCCTGGAGAGACAGCTTGCGCTCGAGCTCGCGGTCGAGCCATCAGCAGACCGCGAGGCCGAAGCAAAGCGCAAAGCAGAGCGCGAGGCCGGAGCCTAGCGCAGAAATGTTCAGACGGTTGCCTACGCGAAACGCGAAATGTTCAGAGTCCTTTCCTGGTCTTGAGGAGCAGGCCTTGGTGTTTGAATGCAAGGGGGGCCGGTGTGTTCCGGTACGCCGAGGCGATCAGTGCGGCTGCCGAAGGAAGCGAGGGCCAGGCCGAGGCAATCGGACTTTCTTGTTTCATGTAGCCTGCTGCTGGCAGGCAAGAACTCTTTACGAGGAGGCCGGCGCTGTTTATGGTCGTCTTGAGTGCTTGGGGGCTGCCCTGGTTTAGTTCTCGCATGAGAGTGCATGACCCCTGTTGCGTTAGCGGGCTTGCCCTTACATGCTCCATTGCCACATCAGCAGTGCCGGTTTGCGCAGTGACATAGATCCATGGAGCCATGGAAGGAGGTTTCCTGCTGCCGCGTGAGTGTGGAGGAGAGAAATGCATGGGGAAGTCCCGCAGGCATTCGGGGTCTGCTGCCTACCTCCGGTGCCAGCTCCATGCAGAGTGCAAGCACGATCCTTGACTGTGTGAGAATTGCTTTTTGCAGTTTTCACTTTGGCTTCGCTGGCAGTTTGTTTGCAGTATCATCATGTGTGTGGCCTTTCATTTTCCGAGTGAATTTCATACTTGGGCTTCAGGTGGCGAGGCTCACGCTGCAGGATGACAAGCTGATTGCGGAGGAGAAAGGGGAGCACGCAGGCGTATTTCGCATCGTGCGCGGATCCACTACCGCGCTGCTGAGATTCAAATCAACGCGCCGCTTTTTTGCTGTGGCTCATTTGCTACCCACTGTTTGTGTATATATATATATATATATGTATATGTATGTAGGTATATACATATGAATATGTATGTATGTATATATATATATACATGGGTCTGTGCATTTTGAGGGTCTCAAACTTTAGTATTGGAGGGAAGTTGCATGTCCCCGAACCATACCCCCGAACCATGCCCCCGAACCATACCCCGAAGCATACCCCCGAACCATACCCTTGAAATTGCGGTTGATTTGTGCGAGATGATGTGAGATGTTTCACTTGCAGCTTTTTGGCTGCAAAAGGTGTAGGGGCATGTTACAGGTGATATCGCGTAATGAGTTTGGAAACAGCCCAGTGCTTAAGATCCTGGTTGCAGCGCTTTGGCGCCAGTTGGCAGCGCAGTGCTTGGGCGTCCAGGTGTTTGGAGCCTGGCCTTCCTGTAGTGGTAGCAGAGCCGATTTCCTGCAGTGGTAGCGGAGCCGATGCGCAGTGCGTCCGGAGCTTGCTGGCGATCCAAAGCTTTGTGGGTCCTTCGTGGCGGCGCTTTGGCCAGTCCAATGCGTGCGATCCCGGGTTGCAGCGCTTTGGCGCCAGTTGGCAGCTCTTGGGGGTTCTGTGGCAGCGCAGCTCTTTGGAGCCTTGGTCGGCATGAGCTGTCCCCTGCCGTGGAGATACCACGAGGGTTGAGCATCAGTCGAGAAATTCCAGATAACGGCACTGTTCTTGGTGTGCGCCCAAATTTGATTTCATCGA